CATAGCTACCTTTGAACCTTTTTCCTCCCCTTCTGGTTTTCTTGCTGGAACTCTAATTTCGTTCCATCTCGGGATGCGGTTTGCTTCTCTCCAAACAACGTGTCTAGTGCATTCATCCCTCACCGAGAATGGGTCCTGAAAGTAGCCCCCGCCACCCGGCTAATGTCTAAATCAAGTCAGCGCACCTCGACATTTAAATCGGAACTCGCTCATTCGACAAGGACAGAATCCTTGCCAAATTCGGCGCCTGTCCCTGTGGCGATGGACGGATGCCGACAAGAGGTGCTACATGTGAATGTGGGTTGCAACGAGCAGTTTGCCTTCATGAGAAAAACAAAATGGCAATGTGCGAGAAAAAGCGGATGTCCCTCAATCCATCAACCGCATTATCTCTTGGGCCTTGGACCCCGGATCGAAAGCGGGGATGTGTAGAAAGAGGGCGGTATTGTCGTTAGGACTTGGAGGGGAGTACCGAACTCAGTGCATCTACATAATCCCAGTCCATTATGCAGCATCGTCCCTTCCGCCGCTTCCAAGATGAGTAAGAGCAGCAAGAATCAACAGAGCATTCATCGAACATCAGCGACAGCAGACCGAACAATTGGTGAAAGAGTACGCACGTTTTCCCGTATCCAGTGGCTTCGGTCAAGCTAGAAAACTCAACATTGTCGTATTCGCCTGCGAAAACTGGGCTTGGGTGCTTTTGCTCCATTTACCTTCCTAACCCCGGACTCCCACTCCGCCCACCGCAGCGCTCCCACCATCCTGCCCTCCCACTATGGCCTTCCCCGAAGTCTCCTCCAAAAACACATCCTTATTCAGAAAAAGGGTGATACTTGTCGAAGGGATCCATATTGAATTCACCACCGAATCGAACGGCGTCAGAAAGTCCTTCATACGATTCTGAGTAGGATTCTTGACCAACGGTTGGTCGTATTCCAGAGCTGCGTGAAAAAATTATGGAAGTTATGGATTCAAGAAAAGTGGATCCATTTTGGGTTGCCGGCTTAACATGATGAAAGGGTCATATTTGGCACACACGATGGAAACAAAAATAAAAACGCACTGAATATGTGAGGGACCAATACTAAACTTCGCCTCAGTTCTCCCCATCGTCTTAGCCCTCGCCCTGAACACATCATTCAAGTTAGGCAACATAGTTCCTCAGCATATCCTCCTTGCATGCCCAGATAATACAGCCGCTGAATCCATGAGAGCAAAGCCGGCTTCTGTCACGGTACGATCTACTCGTTGGTAGTGCTCCTCTCTACCAACCAAACGGAGAAGATGAAAGTCCCAAATAATTGAATGAACCATGGATGATGGTACCGAGGAAGACGGTGTCGAAGGGGGACCGGATGACAATGACGATAAGGGTGGAAGGACGATTTGTTCATCAACGATCGCCTTGATGGAAGGATCGGACCAGAGGAAGGAGATGGGGGTGTAGGGAGGAGTGGGAGGATGAGGCGTTGGTGAGTCTTCGAAAGAAGGGAAAGATTATATCATAATGAGTTTGTATTCGCAGGCTGTTTGTAGGGTGACAAAACCAGAAGACCCAGGCTACGTCATGAAGTTCGTTCGTGGTGATGAGAAACGTTATTCGAATCAGCAGAGGTCAAGTCGAAGTGTGCCATATCGAAGATGTGTACTGAGTGTGCCACAGCCGAGTCCGGGCGCTCAAGTCGTCGGAGTCGTCTAAGTAAGGAAGCAGTGACACAACCATCAAGAAATCTCAAAAGAGGGTATCATGAAGCGTGGCGGGTAAGAGCATCACCAGGCATGTCTTTAGAAACCAGGATGCCGGGACAAGAAAAAAAGGTTAGCTCCCACAGTCCCATTGAAACCGAAAAGGGACAGATCGTATAGAGCATGATCCCACCTTCTCAATCTAATGTCCTCCACCACCACAAATGCCCTTAGTGCAGTCGACGAAGTTCCTATTCACGACCCCCGATACACTACTCAACCGCAACGAATCTATTATCTTCATCAGCGTCGCAGTCGTACGTACTCCCACAACGATCCTAACAGAAATGTCTTGCATAATTTCTGAAACGCATCGAAGTTGGTGGTTATTCGACGGTAGATGGAGTCCAAGCGAGAGTCCCTTTCGTATGCTAGAAGGGACTGTTGATGGTGCTACTGGCGAAAGGGATGACGGGGGGAGGGGATGGCTGTTGCGACAGTTGCCCATTTGGGTGTAGTGCAGTATTTCAAGATTATGCACGGTCAGTGAGGGGTCAAGAGGAGGGCAGAAAGAAGACTGGCACAAGCGCAGTGAGACGAGCAGGTTGGAAATGAATGCGCCTCCAGGAGAACAATAATGCACCATCAGTAACCATAGCATGCGATCGAGCCTTTTGATCGTTCCTTGGCGTCATCCCTGATTTGGCACGACGTTGCACGATCGAAATCGAGGGTGACTGGGAATAACACGGCGTACAGCCAGTTGCGATAGTGTATCACTGGAATAATCAATGACAGTTGTTGAGGGGATCGTTTCGGTGCGACTGAATCAAGGCTCGACCCCGGTGTTCCTTCTTAGCCCACAACCGAAAATTTGATGGCAGAGCAGGTATTCCTAGCATCTGCAACAGCAAGCAGTAACCCACGCTTAAGCAGATCCCTGAGACAGAAGATGAGAGGTTGGTCATGCCAAGGTCAATTTGTCGGGTTGCCGAGTTTAACGACTGAATTGACACCGGACTTCGTGCTCCATTGGCAACGATTCCACAGGAACATATGTACTTAGTCTGCTTGTCGAGATACATACCATCAAATTATGTCTCTCACGTATTAATTTTAGAGTTGGATATCCCTTGAGACATTAGTATTAATTACTACATTCGCGCGATGCACCAGACAATATCGATCAGTCGATATCATCTTTTTTTCATCGCGCCGAGATTAAAATTCATCATTCATCCAAACCTCGACGTCATCGCTCACGGTGGTATGCAGAAATACGGTCCAGTACTTCAGTGATGAGCGATCAATGGGGGGGGGAAATGTTTCAAATGAAGAAGTGAACACCCGACGTTAAATCAAAAGATCTAATATGGATTTAGCAGCTAGCAAACTCTGTATAAATATTGTTAGTAGTGTTCTCGAGCTGAATATCGCCTTTCAAAGCATGCAACATGTGCATTATGGATGGCCCAAATCGCCAGAGTCGGCTGTGCAGACACTTACTACTCCGATTCGAGAATGGGAACAGTGATCGATATTCCAACGACATCTCTCCATGAATATCACGTTTGCAGTGCCTGTTACTGCTTGGGGCTAAACGATATAATGCCGGGAACTGCGTAGCGTCGAATTGCAACCTTTCCCTGTCACTACCATACTCCCTACCACTCCCTAGATGTCCCCAGCTGCTTCACTCGAGTCCCTCATCCCCCGTCGTGTAAGAACAGTGTGCCGTACTTGCTATCAGTACTCCACCACCACGTACTCCGTTGGAAGTAGGACCCGCCGATGACAAAGACGAAAAACCTAACGAACTGGAATGATGCGTGGACGATGGTTCGGATGAAGATGACAACGAGGGCGAACCCGACAAAGAATGTATTACGTAGTCACAGAGGCTAGAGTCCTGCCTACGAATAATGGAGGTTGTAGGGAGACAATTCGTTCATCGACGGTCGCTTAGATGGAAGGATTGGACCAGGGAAAAGGGTGGGAAGATAAACGGTTGGGGGGAAATTGGATAGATTGGGTGTGCGGCTGATGAGTGGGTTTGCGTTCGAGATATTTTTCCACGTTCGCTCTGCAGGGTAGTAAATCCAAGAAACCCAGGCTGCGTTATAGAGTTCATTGGCCGGCAAGTGAGAGTAAGTTCAAATCATCAGCAGTGGTGCAGTTCGAAGGGTGTACGTCAGGGATGTGTGCCGAGTCCGTTGAGCCGAGTCCAGGGGTTCGAGTTTGTCGGAGTCGAGTGGGAAAGCGACATGGCCATAAAGAGATCGGAGACGCCCCAGCGATGAGAGAGGGCAGCGTCGAGCGTGACGAGTATCCTAGCATTGTCATATACAGAATGCCGAGGAGGCGCAAAGAGATCAGCGCCCAACAACTCATCCTCGCTAAACCTGCCTTGGGATCTTCATCTGCTTCGCAACGTCCTCTTCCCGCTCTCCCCGGATCATAACAACAATATCGTGAGTTTTGGGGTCCGCAGCTGTCTGACAATCGATGGGGTCTGAATGGCCGCATGGGGCGGAGGGAAAGGGAAGTACTGGTGGAAGGGGATGACGATGGAGAGTGGATGGCTGAGTTTGTGAGTTTCCCGTTTGGAGTTCAAGTGGGCTTGAAGATTAGCCATGGTGGGACGATGACAGCGAGCTAGGGGTTATAGAGAGAGGGGAGAGTGGACAAAGGCAAGGCAAGGCATCAATCACGAAATCGGGGATGACTAGTCATGGGAAGAATGCGTCCAGCCAGTTTCATAGTGTATCACTGTGAAATTCTCTTCGTTGCATTATCCTCGGAGATAGTGTAGGTAGTTGAACGGAATTTAGGCCAGGCCTATCAATCAGTCACGGTGGCGTCGGGGTGCCAGGGAGTCAGTCAAGGCTCGACCCTCATGTTCCTATTTGACATATTCTTCTTGGCGCAGAGCTTACATCCCGTGCAGCATTGAATAACTAAAACTCACTTTTCGGTATTGGTACTATAATTGGTCGCTGCGGCGCACTATTACGGAATAAAATGCCACATCAGTCCAGCAAAACAGGGCAGGACTCAACCTCAAGCATAACCCATGACCCAACTTTGAGAACTGAGAAAAAAATGAATCAACACAGCCAGGTATCGATAATACCAGAAAGGGAAGGGCATGCTGACAATAGCCCAAGTCGACCTTCGGTCACCGCTCCTCCCGATAGGAACGCTGCAACGTTCAAAATCAAATCAATATTTTATCCGTGTGCTCGCCACAATAACAACAACGATTGGCCAGCGTCGAGCGAGAAGCAGACAGAAGTACAAACACCCAATGATTAAAGCTTAAGTGCCTTAGTAAGAAGTCTCGGCAAATCAGGCGTTTCAAATCCAGTGGCAGGGTCCCAACCTCTCGTTCCATTGAACCCTGTCGTTCCACAACCTGGGTTGCTGCCCGTAGTGATGTCGTTCTGGACGCCCGGTTTGAGAGAGTAAATCCATGGGTTACTGCCCATATATAGACCGTAGCGCTTCGGTGAGCGGGTGCCTGAGGAAGAGAGCAAACAAACAAACAAACATACAGAAGCCCGAGAAGTCTACAACCATTGGAGAGTGAAGCATCATTGATCTAAAACGCAAGTATACCTCGCTGCTGAGGCCTGCAAGGAGAGAATGGAAAACGAAATGGGACTCACTATTGCATGTCGAAGCGTTTGTACCCGAGAACACGTATGACTTTCCCTTGGTACACGACAAGATACCGATAGCCCCTGCACAGAGGATGAATGAGAACTCATCAGATCAAGCAATCCATCGAGGACGAATGGAGCCAGACACAGAAAGAAACTCACTGAGCCGCAACGTCAGTGCTGGAGGATAGAAAGTGGAATAAAACTGTTTAAGGTCAGCAAGGTTCGCATATTGCTCAAAGTATCTAAATGATGTTTTAGTTTATGCAGTTCTCTGATGGGGATTCCGAGAGCGAGACAATGAAGATGTGATGATACCTACCCGGTGGGAGCGATATGTTTGGCTGTGGTGATGGTGCTGGGGAAGGAGCGCTTTGCTGGTTGAAGGAGCCATTATCAACTATCAAAGACGACAAGAGAGGTCGACCAGAAGGGAAGTAGTTCGTAGGCTGAACGACGTCAATGTGGTCGTGAAGGTGGGCAGGAAGACTGTATGACATTGTACAAATCGCAGTGAGTCCAATCTTGTGGTTCGCATATATTGAATAGGTTGTGTCAAGAGGTTTCTCTGCGATTTCAATGGTGGTCTTGAGTGAGATCCAATCATTTGCGGTTGTTCGTTGGAGCGCGTCGCCTGTGGTGTCTATGCCGTGCGAGACGAGGAAAGATTCGAGCAAGATGACACTATCTGAGTGAGGAGCGGAGAACTCTTCGGCCTCTCCTAGGTTTGGTCAAGTGCTCAGTCCATCGGGACCTCTATACGAAACATCTTTGAAGGGAAGGCAAAGTGACTTCTCCGCAATGAAATGCTCAGGGACGTGCAACTCCCATACACTTCAAACGCTACAAAATGCATGGGGAATCAAGATGTATCACTGACGATGTGCAAATGCGGAGTGATCGATCTAAAGCTAATGTAAACTGCATAATGTACGTATATAGCACACAATATGTGACACGCTTACTTCTTCTCTGCCATAGCCAGTAACCAGCCTCTATAAATTCTGTCATGCACGCGAGATTCACAGCCGATTCCAACAAGATCATAGAACGACGGCGGGTGATGAGACCCACACATCACACGTTCGCTCCGACTCTCCAGCTCCAAAGCGAAGGACTCAGAGAGCACTACAGTGAGAAAAAGGGTGTTGGTGTGGCGAGGTCGGCGATCATGAGATTGGTGAACGATGGTGGTGCTGGGATTGGTCTGGGGCCGGCAGGTGGATTAGGTTTAGAACTTGAACCGCCTAGCTACTAGCTAGTCCTGAACTTGTTCCTTGCGCATGTTTCGCTACTAGCCTAAGATTGAAGTGGGTCTCAAAAATTACGTAAATATGCTCGTCTCTCAACTTTCCTGCATGATGTCTGCGTGCTCGGGAAGCTTTCACTATACTTAGAGCAGCCAGTGAGAAGAGGTTATGTGACACGAATTTATTTAATTTATTCCCACGGCTACAAGTCGTTCGACATCACTAATATCCTAAACTCCAGTCTAGAGAGTACCTCGCTTACTTACTAGTATATCCTCCAGCTGCATGTGTAGATGGCCTCAATCCTTTTGCTTACCATGTGGCTTTTTTGTCACAACGACGCCGCTTGGTGCTGAAATGCATGCAACAGCAGAGAAATTGCGAATGCTGCCGGTGTCTCCTGCGACCTGACTTCCAGGGTTCGGATAACTAGTACTGTATCATGCTGGACCGGGGCCTAAGAAGGAATGAACATTATACCAATCGGCCGAATGTACACCTACCACCCGTGGACGTTACCAGCCGACTCCGTCCCCTTCTGCTCTGGTTACATGTCCTCAGTACGCTTCCTTGCACTAATGCACCTGGAAAAGACGGAGAATTTCTTTACCTTTTGTTCGTAGGATTTAGGAAGTGGGACTCCCTTCCTTGATGTGGCGTCTCCGTGTTTGAGAGTGCCTCTTACGTATAACCCAGCTTATTCTAGCTACAAGCCCAGACCTTTTTACCACCCCTTAATTAGCTGGTTCCATTGAATACGCATGCAGCTGGTTAGCATATGGCCTTTCGAATCGATCGATCTGTCGATGATCGTTTAACAACGCCTGCGGCTAGCCTGGCTTCTACCGATTGACTCAAATATCGCTAAGACGCCAAGAGGAGATTGTACTTTGGTACTCTAAACGGCATTGGCTAGCTTTGTCTCGCTGTACTCTCGTTGGCAGAATGCTTGCTCTTGACAGGGAACTCCTTCGGGGTGGCATGTGTATAAAATTGGAACGATACATATACTAAGCTAGTCACACCAGATCGAATTATCTAAATCTGGAATCAACGAACATGAGCGCCCGTGTCAATGGCAATTGGTATCAGGATGGATTTTGTGAAACAGCCCCAATAGTTCTATCTAGCGAATGTACGCCGCATCCAAGCTTTTTTGCTCCTTGAGTCCTGGCAACATAGAAGAAAACTCTGTCCCGTCGCTACCATCTCCATAAATAACCATCACTAAGACTAAGGATTGGATGCCTCTTGGAGCCCTCGACTCTTGAACTATGACAAGTCACAGCTCTGAAGTCTTCATCAGGTAGCCCCTGGACCACGACAAGGTGGACATCCTCCCAGGGGAACGTCACCAACAAACGACCACCATAGATCAAGCAAGCAACTAACCCCCTCTCCCCCTTCTCCCCCTCTTAGAGCTTTGACCCCAGAGCCACTGCCGGGTTCAACTGAACCGCAGCAAGTGGAGACTCTTTAAGAAGTCTTTCACCCTAAGGCGCGTTGGAGTTTCGGATCCCAGAGCCACTGTCGGATTATTCCAATGAATCGCAACAAGTGGGGACTCTAAAGAGATCGTACCCCCGTGAAGCTTTGGCCCCAGAGCCACTGTCGGGATCGACTGAACCGCAACATGTGGAGACTCTTAGAGGGCTTTTGCTGTGGACGCGATACATCCCCTCCCCCCCCCTCTCTTAAAGCTCCGACCCCAGAGCCACTGCCGGGTTCAACTGAACCGCAACAAGTGGGGACTCTTTAAGAAGTCTTTCGCCCTAAGTCGCGTTGGAGTTTCGGATCCCAGAGCCACTGTCGGATTATTCCAATGAATCGCAACAAGTGGGGACTCTAAAGAGATCGTATCCCCGTGAAGCTTCGACCCCAGAGCCACTGTCGGGATCGACTGAACCGCAACAAGTGGGGACTCTTAAGAGGCTTTTGCTGTGGACGCGATATACCCCCACCCCCACCCCCCCTCTTAGAGCTTCGACCCCAGAGCCACTGCCGGGTTCAGCTGAACCACGCCAAGTGGGGACTCTTTAAGAAGTCTTCCCCCTAAGTCGCGCTGGAGTTTCGGATCCCAGAGCCACTGTTGGGTTCAACTGAACCGCAACAAGTGGGGACTCTAAAGAGATCGTATCCCCATGAAGCTTCGACCCCAGAGCCACTGTCAGGATCGACTGAACCGCAACAAGTGGGGACTCTAAAGAGGTCTTTGCTGTAAACGCGATACACAAACATCCCCCTGCCCCTCCCCTCGGAGCTTTGACCCCAGAGCCACTGTCGGGTTTGACTGAACTGCGACAAGTGGGGACTCTTAAGAAGTCTCTGCGCCGGAAACAACAAGCAACTATCGCCCTAGATTAAGCAACTACCACACTAGATCGAGCAATGGATGCCTCTTGGAGCCCTCAACTGCTGAACCATGACAAGTCACAGTCCTCAAGTCTTCATCAGGCAGCTCCTGGACCACGACAAGGTGGACATCCTCCCAGGAGATCAAGAACTTAGCAACTTACCTCGAATCCGGTCTCATTTTGTGCTCGCTGGCCTGGCTAGATCTATAAAACTGCAGCTGTGATAGGCTTGCAGCCTGCCCCTTAATAAGATGAACACATAGACCGTCGGTGACCTTGCCACTCACTTTCATTAATTCCTTCTCTTCTCTTGCATTCATACTGTTCCTATCGAGTGTTAAGATTGTCGCTCGGAATTTCTTGTATTGCGTGGCTCTGAATGAGACGTCCACATGTGGGTTTTTTGTCGCTTCGGCGTCCTTCCTAGTAGCTCCGGACTATCTGTAACCTCGGGTCAGTGATGTACTAGAGAATAACTATGATAGACTTCCCTAAACCCAAAATTCAGGCCAGATCCTCAGACGTAAGATCGCTGCTTCAAACTAATCAGTAGAACTTGGATCGCCATACCTTTGCTTTCCTTCCCTTGTTCTGGAGTACCCTTGGAGCAACTCGCCGGTTCCTCGAAATCTGACTAGTTTTAAGTTCCAAAAGAGACGTCCACATGTGTATGTTTCACCGATTCCGCACTAATGATGCTAGGAGTGAGGGTTCAAGAAAACGCAATGAAAAGCAATGCTAGCGAGCCAATAGTGGTGCTTACTTAGACATCCCTTTCTCTTACACATAGAGTTCCAGTGGAGGTTCCAGTTGATAACAAAGTATTCGGAGGTTTCAGGTAGCCTAGACAGGCGTCCACATGTGGGTTTTTGGCCAAACGGTGCAAATATGATGATATGCAACTCACTTTCTCCTCTTCTCTTGTTCGTATACTGTTCCTGTGGAGTATTAAGATTGTGACTTGAAATTTTTTGTTTTGCATAGCTCTGAATGAGACGTCCACATGTGAACTTTTTGTCACTTCGACACCCTTCCTAATAACTTCAGACCATTCGTAACCTTGGGTCAATGATGTGTTAGAGAATGATAACAACCATGATAGACTTGCCTAAACCCCGGATCATCAGACATATAAAGATCGCTGCTCAAATCAGTATCACTTCATTATTTCTCGGATCGCCTGCTCCTCAAGATCTGACTAGTTCTAGGTACCAACAAAGACGCCCACAAGTGAGTGTTTCACTGATTGCGTATGTACACTAGTGTGAGGGTTTAAGAAAACACAGTGGAAAGTGATGCCAGCGAGAAACGGTGCTGCCAATCCAGCGTCTGTCTATGTTCTCTTTCTTTACCACATAGAGTTCCAGTGGAGGTTCCAGTTGATAACTGAGTTATCGGGGGTTTCAGGCAGCTAAGATAGGCGTCCACATGTGAGTTTTTGGCCAAATGCTGCAAATATGTAATGCCAACACATAAGCACTGCAGCAAATACCAAGGCGAGCGCAGATTCGAGGGAGTGCAATGCGGGCAAGCTAGTGCCAGACATAGCATCCGTCCTTCTCTCAGCGAGCGTTCTAATTGACGCCCAGACGCATGTCAGTTATTTGACCGAACCCGGCCATACGCAGTGTCAACAATGCCAGGAGAATGCAGGTCTGAGAGTGCGATAAGAAATGATGGTTGCGAGCCACTGTAGCGCCAGATCTAGTGTCTGTCTATGTATCTCTTTCTCTTGTACTTAGAGTTCCAGTGGAGGTTCCAGTTGATAACTGAGAACTCGGAGGTTTCAGGTAGCCTAGACAGGCGTCCACATGTGAGTTTTTGGCCAAACCCTGCAAATATAACGCCATGCAACTCACTTTTATTATTCCTTCTCTTCTCTTGATCGTATACTGTTCCTATTGGGTATTAATATTGTCACTCAGTCCTGTTCTGGAGGAAGAGTCATAAGCAGGGAATGGCTTCCTTTGGGGAATTACTATACGACAGAATCCACTTTGGCACCGGCCAGCGCTGCTTAGGGTATGTCACTACTGTTGACCTACGGTCCCACTCGATCTATACACGGCTTGAACCGTATTGTCCAATCACACCCTCGAGCTCTTGGCTCCGCTTCCTGCCTGGTTCACTGCGTTTATCTCTCTTGCTGCACCACAAACTGCCATCGCGATGGCACACATTCTCATCCTGCCCATCCACGTCTGTTACACAAGAGTCAAGACTGTTTTCTCTTTCGGACCAAGCAGACGCCCAGGTTTGATGTACAACAACAGTTGTTTCTTCAGTTTTATACCGACCGAACCTGAGTGAACCTCTCTCTCTCGCTTCATTTGTTCTCAATGCTTAAAATTGGTTTCTCGGGTCTGACGTTAACGCCCTCGAAGCCAGGATTGAGCCTGACCCCTCTCCCATTCGGTATCGGAGAAAGCAGTGAATACATGTTCACCGTACTTCAGAGATCTAGGCTCTCGGCTCCACCGACATGTTTATCTATGCTCCCAATCTTTTACTGTTATTGTTGAGACACCGGATGCGGCTCTAACTGCCAGTCGAGCAAGGATTGCGCAAACTATTCTCGGGGGCGATCTCTCTACCCATTCATGAAACTGACTGTCGAGTGAAGGTTTTTACACATTGAATTATACAACTACAGAGTTGGGATTGTGTCGTTCTTCCTGTGGACGGTGAGGTCGTATATTGGTATGAGGACCGCACCAGCAGTACAAGCCATCACTCTCCGGGGTCTACTCACTTGGTCTGATTAACACCATTTCCCTTCAAGATCCACTCCGAAGCCTTCCTAGCTTGTTCCTCCTGTTGTTCCTTGGTCAATTCACTCACAGCGGGACGTTTCTCAGGCACGTTAAGACCCGCCTGAACACCTGGACTGTTGGCAATTCTATCGAGCCATTTCTGTCGATGGACTCGTTAGTCGTGAAGGAATGAAGAACGAGACGTGAGACGTACGGCGAGGTTAGGGAAATCATCGAGGCTATCGACGCCCGACCATGCCCAGGCTTTGATCCTATTCCAATGTTCAACAATTAGTTAACGCGATTGACTCCTTGAGGATGACGATGACAAGCAGAGTTGGACGTACCAGGGCCAAACGTTGATATCAGCAATAGAATACTTCCCCTTCCCAGATCCAACTAGATAGTCTCGACCTTCACCTTGGGTCAACCTGGCCTCGAGGACGCTATAAAGGCGTTTCGTTTCGGTTATGTAACCTAGGTGGATTCATTCCCAGAAAAGAGATGACGGGAATGGTAGCTTGTTCACTTTCACGAAGGTGAAAGAGAGAGGAAGGCGCACATACGGTTTATACCATAGGGGATTTTTTCAGGTGCGTAGCGGTAGAAGTGATTCGCTTGGCCTGTTATCGAACCAGGGGATTTAATTATAACGAAATCTCGACGATCTCCAGACTTGACGAACCTTGCATCGGACCAACACCACCATGCTATATAAACAAACCCAAGAAGTTGCGTCAGACTATAGCGCGTTAACACCACATCCGAAAAAATAAACTCACAGCAAAGAATATCCACTGAAGAGCTTCAGATTCCTCATCTGATCCAATCTCAAAACTGATCTTTCTCTCTGGATCCCATCGCTGAACGAGATAAAGAAGTATGGCGGCTGTTTCGAAAACGTTAAAGTGCGATCCGTCTGGGCGGTGGTGGGTTACTGCCGGAATTCGACCATTCGGGTTTATTTGAAGGTACCATGGTTCTTTCTGTTCCAGTTTGCTGAAGTCAAGTTTCTAAACGGCGAGGGTATGAGAAGTCGGAGGATACATTGAGTACGCATGATTAGAACGCGAACTTGTGGTGCATACTTTGAAATCGTAGCTTAGTCCGCTATCGGGGTACAATTCTTTGAGAGCGTCTGTGAGATATAGGAGAAACCCGAATAATTAGCGCTCGCAATCGCCACACAGGTTAGCCCGTACGCACCAAGAGCTATGGAGACTTTGTGGCCATTCGGGGTCGGAGCAGTGTAAAGGGTCAAAGTAGGCGTCAACATGATCGAGCGAGTAGACAAGAGCCCAGTGAATGCGATTCGGAGTCTCGAAGTGCAGTGCAGGGTGAAAGAGCTTTGAGAGATTCCAAGGGGCTGGTCGAATGGAGGAGCAATGAACGGCTTTGGGAAGTCATTTATATAGCAGAAATGTCATTTATCCACCACCATGTGGAGGTGTCGTGCATGACAAGAATGGGTCCCTTAGGCTGCCGGGTTTCATCATTGCTGGTAAGATCAACTTGAGGGGTGAGCCGAGCTGGAACTCATTCCGGAAATCATGCACACGTCGCCGCCACACCCTGCTGGTTATGAGAAAATCTGAATTGACGCAGCGGTGGATTCGTAAGGCATAAAGAGATGAATAAGGATTCATAATATTTGTTTGGGAGAATGACTGAGCGTATTACAGATACATAGTATTCTCGAACTGAATATCTAACTAGAAATGGCTGCCGTGCAGCCCTGACCTTGCTTGTGATAAGGCTTCTGCATGTGAGGTTAACCGCCACAGCGGAACAGTTTCTGCCGAATCGTTGACCTTTCCATCAAACTGGTAGGGTCTTTTTGCACCATTATGCTGAGGTTCTTTCTACCATCGCGCAACTTTTATTAAGCTGTCATGGGTGTTCTTTCCCCTCTTTTTGTTTGCCATGAGCACACTACATTAGTTATTACCCAACACCAGTTAGCTTTCCCAACGCTCTCTATTCCACTAGCTTTATCCGATTAAAAGAATGCAGTGCATTGCGCCGTTGATATGAATCACGGAGGTATGTGTAATTAGTGATGGTGGATGGATCGAGGTCCAAGGCACACTCAAAAATGAGTATGACCACGGTTTAGAGGTTGAATCGGAAGTGATGCAAATGGAGTTAGAGGAAGCCACAGTGTGCAGGAAGAGTCGCGTTTCAAACTGAGATTGGAATGAGGAATGTGTAGTGTTAGTCAAATTCGTACTCACAGAGAGCCGACTGGGTGTCTGAAGTCTGAGCTAACATAGTTATACGAGGGGTCAAGTGATTTGTCTTATCGCAGTGGTACTACAGCGGAAGTGATTGTCATATTGGGAAAAGAGGACCCTGGGTTACAAAGGATCCTGTGAACAGCACTTGTGGGGCCTAAATGTGCAGAACCCGCTACGAAGTAGTGGGAAAAATGAGCCAGAAAGATCTTATCGCGAGAGTTGTAAGAAAGGACACGTGCAGAGAAGCGGTCAATACATTTTCAGAATTCCCACCAATATATTTGCAGAATTCCCACGAATTGTGGACATGCAAGAGACCTTGCAAGCAAGGTAATTCAAGCAGCAAACTGGGAAATGAGAGGATCGCTGTGCCTTTGGGTCGCTCAGACGTTGGACCATTCGTGCCTCGGAATGATATCCGAGAGTGAAAAGAGCATCACGTACGTAGAGTTATATACTGTAGAGGCTGGTAACCTGCCTAAATGAAGGTCCTAACTAATTGCAACGAACCGTGGACGGTGGTACAGAAGAAAACAGTAACGATCGAAGGGAAATCGGACGACAATGAAGATGAGGGCGGAAAGACGATTTGTTCATCAATGATCGCCTTGACGGAAGGATTGGACCAGCGGAAAGAGATGGACTCTCCTAAGAGTGTATGGAGGAGTAGGATGATGAGCTGTTGGGACAAAATGGGCGAGTCTCCGAAAGAAGGGAAGGGTTGTATCATATGTGCCGCTAGTGGATTTATATTGGCAGAGATTTTTTCCAGGCTGTTTGTAGGGTGGCAAACCCCAAAGACCCAGGCCACGTCATGAAGTTCGTTCGTGGTGGTGAGGGAAATGGTTCGAATCGGTCAGGTCGAAGGGTGCCATGTTGGGGATGTGTACTGAGTGTGCCAAAGCCGAGCGCGGGCGTTCAAGTCATCCAAGTTAGAAAGTGAGGTAGTGCCAGTGACACAACCATCAAGAAACCTCAAATGAAGCGTGGTGGGTAAGAGCATCACCAGATGTCTTCAGAAACTAGAATGCCAGGAAGATTAGCACCCACAATCCCATTGAAACCGGAGAGGGGACAGATCATACGGGACTCACCAAGTATGATCCCACCTTATCCTCCGCCACCGCAAATGCCGTTAGTGCAGTCGACCAAGTTCCTATTCACGACTCCCCGATATAACTACTCATCCGCAATGAATCCACGATCTTCATCAGCGTCGCAATCGTACGTACTCCCTAACAACAATGTCTTGCATAATTTCTGAAGCGCTTTAAGGTCGGTAGTTATTCAACGGTCGATAGAGTCCAAGCGAGAGCTCCTTTCGTATGCTAGAAGGGACGGCTGATGGCACTACTGGTGGAAGATGACGGGAGGGAGGGGATGACGGTTGCAACAGCTGCCCGAAGACTGGAAAACGAAGCCAGGGGCGCACAGCGATATGGGCAGGTTGGAAATGAATACGCCTCCAAATGCACTATCAAGTCGGTGTTAAAAAAAAGGAAGCTAGAGGCCTTATCGATTAGTCACGGTGGCGTCCGGGGTGCCAAGGAATCAGTGAAGGCTCGACCCTCATGTTCCTAAATAACATGATCCTGCGTAGCGTGCTCCAAGGAATTCAGGGTAGTAAGCAGTACGGTGTCAGGTTGTCAGAGAAATGCCGAGTTCGCCGAGTCGAGGCGGACATCCGAGGTTGGGTTGCCTGACATACCTTGACGTCACCACAACTCAATTGACATTACACAACCTCGGACTTCCCCCGTCGAATTGCCCCTCTTGTATTCGGATGGAGATAATAACATCGAATCAAAGTTTGTTGTCCCTTACGTATTGGAGGTCGATATCCCCAAACACAGTTCAAGTTCCCAACTTGAACAACCCTAGCACGATACACCAGACAATGTCAACTAGTCGGCTTCGTATTGCACCGACATTCATCGCCCATCGGAACCTCGGTGTCATCACCTATGATGGTATGCAGAAATATGGACCAGTACTTCGGCGATGAACAATCAATGGCAGGCAAAATGGTTTAGACGAATAAATGAACACCCGATATAAAAAAATTGTAAGATACAACCCTGATCTGTTATGGGCGTAGTAGCTAGCAAACCCTGTGGAAGTATTGTCAATAGTCTCTAACAAATAAACTGGGATAGAGTCGTCAGTGTTCCCCCTTTCACACATGCAGCATGTGCATTGTGGTGTGGGTGGTGGCCCACGGGAAATGGCAATGGTAAGCGGAATAGGGAAGACCAGAGAACCTAGGCCACTCAATCGCGGACCATTAGTGCATCGGAATGACGCCCGAGATCGGAGAGTGCGGTACGTAGATCGTTGAGTGACTCGGCCAATTCTGGGGCATGTGCTCCTGGGTTGACAGCAACTAGCTGGCGCCGGATTTGGACACATTCTTCAATGGATATGAGTGCCTCCGAGTGCTGTCCGAGACGGGAAAGAGTTATACATAGATTGTTGAGTGACGTGGCCAAATCTGAGGTGTATGATCCTGGGTGGATAGCAACTAGCTGGCGGTAGAGTTTGACGCTTTCTTCAATAAATGGGAGCGCCTCCGAGTGCCGTCCCAGATTGGAAAGAGCATTGCATAGGCTGCCGAGTGACTTGGCCAAATGCGGGGTGTATGATCCTGGGTGGACAACAACTAGCTGGCGGTAGAGTTTGACGCTCTCTTCGATGAATGGGAGTGCCTCTGAGTGCCGTCCAAGATTGGAAAGAGCAATACGTAGATTATTGAGTGACATAGCCAAATTCGGGGTGTATGATCCTGGATGAACAGCAACTAGTTTCCGGTACAGTTTGGCGCTTTCTTCAATGAATGGGAGTGCCTCCGAGTGCCGTCCGAGATTGGAAAGAGTTGCATATAGATTGGTGAGTGACGTGGCCAAACCTGGGGTGTATGATCCTGGGTGAACAACAACTAGCTGGCGTCGGAGATTGACGCTTTCTTCGATGAATGGGAGCGCCTCTGAGTGCCGTCCCAGCTTGGAAAGAGCATTGCATAGGTTGTTGAGTGACCCGGCCAAATCCGGGGTATATGATCCTGGGTGAACAGTAACTAGCTGGCGGCAGAGCCTGACGCTTTCTTCAATAAATGGGAGCGCCTCCGAGTGCCGTCCAAGATTCGAAAGAGTGCAATATAGATTGTTGAGTGACTCGGTCAAATCCGAGGTGTAGGTCCCTGGGTCCAGAGAAACAAGGTCACGGCAGAACACAACGGAATCATTCGCTGCCTCATAAGCCTCATGGAATCTTGAAAAAAAAAACAAATTCTCCACAAGCTGGATAAGCTCATTGGCCAATGCACGAATAGCATCCTTGGACCGGTGCTCAACAGCTGACTAGAATATCATGAGGTAGTTTCATTAATACAATTGATAACACATGCCTTAGCCCACTTGGGTAGTGACGAGATACTAATGTAGCCCTCCATTCTCACACAGACTTCCACCCAGCGAGTTGCTTCTTGAGTGAGAAATACAGCAACTGACACAGCAAGCCCCTCCTCCGGTTCCTGGACTCCACTGAGGTGATGGACAATATGGCGACATGCATAATGAAAGTGCTCGGATAACTCCTCTCGAGGAATGCGCGGCATTTCGTCTTTTTTGGACAGATTTTCAATCAGTCCTAAGCCCTCTACAGAGGAAAGATCCTGGATGAGAATCTCGGTACATCGCAGGGCAACCTTGGCATTCTCTGTCTGCACACCTACTGGACCGCAGCTGGGGTTGATTGATCGGGGATCAATCCGATCGATGATGAAGACACGGAAGGATTGGTGTAAGATTCGAACTGGAACATGATGATCCCCAACCACTGAGAGGAGAGGTGCGAGTTCTGCCAACACATATTGAACAGAAGATTTGAGGAAAGGTGACAAAATGGCGTCCCAAGCTGCGACAGATAGAGGTTGCTGCGCAACGAAGATTGCTCCCATCACGATTGGGTAGTCATATGCAAACTCTTCATCCTCCCAATCGCACTTCTTCAGAATGCTTGTATACAAGCGATCCATCATTCCCTCAGCAGGGACCTTTGATCGTTTGGCACCAGTGTCGAGCAGGCCCTCTAACGTCTTCATAGGATTCTTGTTGGCCATCCTCATGTAGCGAAAGATGGTGCTGATCCAAACAAACAAACCATTTGCTTGTTCTGAGATCTCCTGTACTTTCTTATCCTCGTCCTGAAGATTATGGCGTACATCCGGATGTACTTTCTTCAGCACTTGCAGCTGGGAATGTATGTATGTAGTACAGTCCCTCAAATTTGCCCCATCCGAAAGATCAATAGTGAGACGATGGATTGGGCAATTAGGGGAGAGGTAGCGATTCACGAGATCAAACTGTCTCGATGTGATGAAGAATTTAATGGAAGATGGTAGCCTGGACACCCCTTCCCTAAGAATTTCGGCAAGAGGCTCAAACGCTTCTTTATCGCATTCATCTAACGCATCAATGATGACCACCATAGGACGGTCGGGAGATGGAGGTTTATGTTGGAGAGGCGAAGCCACCAAATTCTCGAATTGCTTCGCGAGTAGGGCCGTTGAGAGGGAAGGGTCTTTTCGCAGAGCAGAGATAATGAAAGTGCGGTAAACCGGGTCATGGTCTGCTAAAGCCCGAGCTATGCCGCTGAATAGAGAATCGGGCCGTGACCGTTCGCCAGCTTTGAAGAAGAAGTGCAGTAACAGGGTAACGTCCTCTTCACTCGCACACCGTTCTGCTATCGTGAGCGTAATCGAAGTCTTACCGGCACCGGCCACAGCTGTCAGCAGCATTAACCGGTTCTCACTCTCCCCAGTGTTGCGGCACCATGTCATAATACGCTCGGTGAGATCCACCCTAGTGCCTTCTAGGCATGCCTGAGTGGAATCATCGTGGGCGATATGAGGGAATCGGAGACTATCCAAGATTTTGTCATCCTGTAGACGACGTTCTATGGCCGCTAATTTGGCGCTGCCTATTAGGTTCGCCCTAAGCTGCATCGGCCGAAAATCAGAATGATTATGGAACGATACTATGAGAAAACCTACCTGAAACGATGTCAATGCTTTGTCAAACTCTTTCTTTAGGTCATCGATCTTTCCTGGGTCTCTCAAGTAAGACAATGCATTCATGAAAGCCGGTCGTTTCTCCAATTTTTTCAGTCTTCGATCGATGTCGGACTTGATCTTCTGTAGCGCGCTAGGACTTGATGTAAGCAACGGTGTCGGGAAAATAAATACAACTTACTCATCAAGCTTCGTGATACTCTCCACCCACGGCTTTGCCTCTTCCGCTGATGGATCATAGGATTTTATGGCTAAAATCACCTCAGTCACAGTGTCGACTACATGTTGACCAAAACCAGCCCATTCCTTCTTGTCGTCCTTGAACTTCTAAGTACGTGGCGCAAACTAGTGTGAGCTTTCATTCAAGGCCGGTCACAAACCATTGCTAACCTGAACCTCGTCGAGGATGGAGAGTGCACCGCCAGTCGCCATTTTTAGCGGGGGACACCAATCAGCCGTATTATTGACAACCCGGAGGATTGGGACGGCTATAGCACCACCCGCTACGAGGAGATCATCAATCTTTTGCCGGAGGACCTCAGCCTTTTGCTGCAATGACATGGTCGATAGCGGACAAGTGAACGGAGAGTGCGCAATACACGTGTGGGCCCCTGATACTCAGAGCCACGGGGCCCCCGCCTGATTATGGAAGGATATGATATATGCATTTACTTTAGTAGAGGCTGGATTCTGCCTAGCATTCAGTCTAATCCGATGTCAACGGCGAATTCTAGCATGCGCGTTGGCATGACCCAGACTGGTTATGGCGGCGAGAGAATTAGTATGACCCCTGCTTGTTGACTTATAGGACCTCATGTGTAAGTCGTAATCAGGCACGAGTTGCAGCGATCGCTTCGTACCGAGGACCCACGGTAAGCGCCGCTGCGGTCCCGCGACGTTTCACGACGGTCATCCCGTTCCTCAAGGGGAGCGATTAGCTTTTAATTAAGCTCTTAGGATGCAGGCAAGTGGGTGTTGGCTGTACGTCAAAGCTTGTCATTTTTCAGCTATCGTTTTCTGGAACCCATCTTCCCTTTCCTTTTGATCAAGCGCCGCTCTCTAGACTGCGCCCTGAAAGCTCCAGGGCCCCACTGTACGCGTGTCGCGACCATCCCATGGCGCCTCGACCCATTCAAGTTGGCGGTGAGGCTGTTTTCGTGGCGCTTGTGGACCCAATACTTGTTCTACTTGTTGTGCCGCGTCATATTCGATCGTGCTCTGGTCACCACGAGTCGGGGTGATACCCTCGGCGAATAAATTGGTCCCCACAAGTACTTCGACTACGTACTTCCCAACGCATCGATACAATAATAATCTCAACTAATATAGCGCCGCTGTGCCACGCGATTTCAGCGCAGGCTGGCATCCCTAGCGTCTCATCACGGTCGTCCCATCCCTCATCGTAGAGGCGCGATCGGCTTTTATTTAAGCTTTTAGGATGTGGGTGTCAGCTGTAGATGCGCCAAAGCTATTCGGACAGTATAAAAAGGCCTACATTTTTAGCTATCGTTGAAGTCATTTTCCGCAAACCCAATATATTCCCCTTTCCTTTTGGTCTCTGGACAGCGCCTTGAAAGGCTCCACTGCACCTGCGCGCCGCAAGCATCCCATGAGGCCTCGACCCATTCGGTGGGGTTGTTCCAGTGCCGCTTGTGGGCCAACACTGTGCCACTTGGTTGTGGCCTTGATGCGTCATATTCGATCGTGCTCTGGTCACCGCTGGGTGTGCATGACCACCCATCGCTGAATAAGATTGGCCGCTACTTGTACACTACTTCGACTACTTCCCAACGCATTGATAGAAGAATAAAATCTCAACATACTCCATACATTACAGCAAATATCAACGATGGTGAAGCCAAGCTCCCCTATACAGTACCACATACCCTACACCCTAGATGTGCCAGCCGCTTTGCCTCCGCTTCCCCCGCCATCCAATAGTGCGCTGCACCGACCAATAATAGTGCCAATACCGAGAAGTGAGTTTTAAGGGACGTATGGCTTATTATCGTATCTACATATTACGGAATAAAATGCCACATTTCAAGTCCAGCAAAACAGAGCAGGACTCAGCCTCAAGCGTAACCCAACTTTGAAACTGAGAAAAAGAACGAATTAACACTGGTATCAAGAATACCAGAAAGGGCAGACTGACAATAACCCGATGGGAATACTGCAGCGCGTTCAAGATCAGATCAATATTTTATCCGTGTGCTCGCCACAATAACAACAACGATTAGCCAACAACGAGCGAGAAGCAGCCAGAAGAGCAAACACCCAATGATCAAAGCTTGAGTGCCTTAAGAAGTCTCGGCAAATCAGGCGTTCCAAATCCAGTTGCAGGGTCCCAACCTCTCGTCGCATTGAACCCTGTCGTTCCACAACCTGGGTTGCTACCCGTAGTGATGTCGTTCAGGACTCCCGATTTGAGAGTGTAAATCCATGGGTTGCTGCCCGTGTTGAGCATAGCGCTTCGGTGAGCGGGTGCCTGAGGAAGGGAGAAACAAACAAACGTACAGAAATCCGAGAGGTCTGCGACCTTTGGAGAGTAGAGCATCGTTTAAGAGGGCAATCTAAGATGCAAGTATACATCGTTGCTTAGGTCTGCGAGGAGAGAATGAAAAAGGAAATGGAACTCACTATCGCAGCAAAAGTAGGTGTCGAAGCGCTCGTACCCGAGACACGTATGACTTTCCCTTGATACACGATGAAATACCGATATCCCCTGCACAGAGGATGAGTGAGAACCCATCAGATCAAGCGATCCCTCGAGGACGAAGCAAGCCAGACGCATAAAGAAACTCACTGAGCCGCAACATCAGGATAGGCTCCCCCATTCTTGTTGAACAATCCTTCATACGTGCTTCCGAGTGTTTTAAGGTATCTCGGTACTGCATGGTGTTGGTACCATGGGCGGGGGAAGTAATCACTAAATCTCCCTCCCGAGAAGCGAACTGTTGTTTCGGGAATTTGGTACGTCGCCCCAACAGTCGTGACGCTTCAAGCAGCACGACTTAATGTTCACCACAGATATAGGGAAAATACATAGAAAACTCACTATGGGCACCCACCAGGGAAGATAGGAACGAACCTATTGGGGGTGAAACAAGCTCCTGTTTCCCCCATGCGGCCTACACCTCCATCGCCCGAGGCATGCAGAGCGCTAACACCCCGCGTCCCAAGTGCAGCGTAAAGCTTGCACACACGTCGGGCGTAGTTGATTGGAACTGTATTCTCATCCTCACCTTCATATAATTTCGAAAATTCCGCGGTCCCCACATGGGTGTTAGAGTGAAACTTTTGGGTCCCAGAGGAAATAGGATGCAGAGACTCACCATAACTGGTAGTCAACACTTGAGGAAGATCCTTCGTTTTCTTCCTGAGGTAAGTGAGAAAAACGTCGTAGCTGTGGATTGTGATAATTTAGTAGATTCATATGAATACGGGTTTGGCATCCGCTCACGGTTCATTCCCGTTATCCTCATAGCTGATGCTCTGGTTCGTATTTTGGCCGCGACCATATGTACTGTAGAATACTAATTAAGAAGAAATGGTGTTACGATAGTTAAAATGGTACTGATTCAAGCCGTACGTACTTTGCTTGACAGGGTACTGCGATCAAAACAGATTCCATGGGGCGATTGAGTAACCCGGAATCTGCATTGCACAGAGGTGAGGTAGCTCACCGATACCCCTCCCGCGAATTGGACATCCAAATTCTGTGAATTTAAGAGGAATGCCAAAAAACCGAGGGGTTAGTGTTCAAATTTTATACATATAAGGGCGTGAAAAGAAAGAGAAAAAGAAAGTGGGAATGGAAGAATCGAGATTCAAAGGAACTTACAGCCTCGATGCCAGCCTCGGAAATGTTCCGAGAGCCGATTGCTCCTATGTAACAGCGACAACAAGAGAGAGAAAAAAAATGCATCAATGATAACGAAATGCCACAACGATGAACTTTACCGTTGATAAGCCCCACATGGAGGGCACTCTTCAGCGCTGGAGGATGGAAAATGGAATAAAACTGTTTGAGGTCAGCAAAGTTGGCATATTGCTCGAGGTACCTAAAATGAGAAAACATCACATTTTAGTTTAAACAGTTGATGGGAATTCCGAGAGCGAAACAATTAGCATGTGATGATACCTACCCGGTGATACCGATTGAACTTCGCGTTCCTTTAGCCTTGTACGCATCGGTGCGATAGAGCGTTTTAAGCTCTGGGAGTGACATGTTTGGTTGTGGTGATGGTACTGGGGTGGGAGCGCTTTGCTGGTTGAAGGCACCATCATCAACTATCAGAGACGACAAGAGGTCGACCAGAAGGGGAGTAGTTCGTAGGCTGAACGACGTCGATATGGTCGTGCAGGTGAGCAGGAAGACTATATGACGTTGTACGAATCGCAGTGAGTCTGGTCTCGTGGTTCGCATATATTGAAAAGGTTGTGTCGAGAAGTTTCTCTGCGATTTCAATGGTGGTCTTGAGTGAGATCCAATCACTTGCGGGTGTTCGTTGGAGTGCGTCGCGTGTGATATCGATGCCGTGCGAGACAAGAAAAGATTCGAGCAGGATGATACTTTCTGAGGAGCGGAGAACTCTTCGACCTCTTCTTTGCTTAAGTGCTCAGTCCATCGGGGGCTAGATGGATCGCTTATTTCAAACGGTGAAAGTAAGGCTAGGTGAGCCCAAAACGGAGAGTGATGGGAGTGCGAGGCGAGGAATGCCATGGTGGGTCCATCCCCGAGGCAGTCGGATCGAGCTCTTCTCGACAAAATGGGGTGCTGGAAGTGCGGCGCACACCCAACTCAATAAGGGGAGAGCAGAAACGAGCAATGCCAACGAGGGAACCATTCCGAGACACCTTCCGCTCAACTGCTCAAGGACTGAAAACGGGGGGGACACGAGCGCATTGCAGAGAGGCCAGATGCGATCCTTAAATCCACATCGATCGAGGCGGGGAAAAACAGCCGGACGGATGCCTCTGAGGAACATCTTTGAAGGGAATTAAGCAAAGTGACTTCCCCGCAATAGGTCCCATACAAATTGAACGCCACAAAGTGGATGAGGAACCAAGATGGATCGCTGACGATGTGCAAATGCGGAGTGATCTAAATATAAAGCTAATGTAGACTGCATAATGTACGTATATAGCACACAATATGTGACACGCTTACTTCTTCTCTGCCATAGCCAGTGACCAGCCTCTATGGATTCTGTCATGCACGCGAGATTCACAGCCGATTCCAACAAGATCATAGAACGACGGCGGGTGATGAGACCCACACATCACACGTTCGCTCCGACTCTCCAGCTCCAAAGCGAAGGACTCAGATAGCACTACAGTCAGAAAAAGGGTGTTGGTGTGGCAAGGTTGGCGATCACGAGATTGGTGAGCGATAGTGGCGTTGGGATTGAACTGGGGCCGGCAGGTGGATTAGGTTTAGAACTTGGCTACTAGCTAGTCCTGAACTTGTTCCTTGCGCATGTTTCGCGACTAGCCTAAGATTGAAGTGGGTCTCAAGAATTACGTGAATATGCTCGTCTCTCAACTTTCCTGCATGATGTCTGCGTGCTCGGGAAGCTTTCACTATACTACAATGGGCTTAGAGCAGCCAGTACAGTGAGAACGGGTTATGTGACACGAATTTATTTAATTTATTCCCACGGCTACAAGTCGTTCGACATCACTAATATCCTAAACTCCAGTCTAGAGAGTACCTCGCTTACTTACTAGTATATCCTCCAGCTGCATGTGTAGATGGCCTCAATTCTTTTGCTTACCATGTGGCTTTTTTGTCACAACGACGCCGCTTGGTGCTGAAATGCATGCAACAGCAGAGAAATTGCGTATGCTGCCGGTGTCTCCTACGACCTGACTTCCACGGTTCGGATAACTAGTACTGTATCATGCTGGACCGGGGCCTAAGAAAGAATGAACATTATACCAATCGGCCGAATGTACACCTGCCACCCGTGGACGTTACCAGCCGACTCCGTCCCCTTCTGCTCTGGTTACATGTCCTCAGTACGCTTCCTTGCACCGAGGCACCTGGAAAACATGGAGAATTTCTTTACCTTTTGTTCGTAGGATTTAGGAAGTGGGACTCCCTTCCTTGATGTGGCGTCTCCGTGTTTGAGAGCGCCTCCTACATATCGATCCGTATATAACCCAGCTTATTCTAGCTACAAGCCTAGACATTTTTACCACCCCTTAATTAGCTGGTTCCATTGAATACGCATGCAGCTGGTTAGCATATGGCCTTTCGAATCGATCGATCTGTCGATGATCGCTTAACAACGCCTGCGGCTAGCCTGGCTTCTACCGATTGACTCAAATATCGCTGAGACGCCAAGAGGAGATTGTACTTTGGTACTCTAAACGGCATTGGCTAGCTTTGTCTCGCTGTACTCTCGTTGGCAGAATGCTTGCTCTTGACAGGGAACTCCTTCGGGGTGGCATGTGTATAAAATTGGAACGATACATATACTAAGCTAGTCGCACCAGATCGGATTATCTAAATCTGGAATCAACGAACATGAGCGCCCGTGTCAATGGCAATTGGTATCAGGATGGATTTTGTGAAACAGCCCCAACAGTAGTTCTATCTAGCGAATGTACGCCGCATCCAAGCTTTTTTGCTCCTTGAGTCCTGGCAACATAGAAGAAAACTCTGTCCCGTCGATACCAGTTCCATAAATAACTATCACTGAGACTAAGAATTGGATGCCTCTTGGAGCCCTCGACTGCTGAACTATGACAAGTCACAGCTCTGAAGTCTTCATCAGGTAGCCCCTGGACCACGACAAGGTGGACATCCTCCCAGGGGAACGTCACCAACAAACGACCACCATAGATCAAGCAAGCAACTATCCCCTCTCCCCCTTCTCCCCCCTCTTAGAGCTTTGACCCCAGAGCCACTGCCGGGTTCAACTGAACCGCAGCAAGTGGGGACTCTTTAAGAAGTCATTTCACCCTGAGGCGCGTTGGAGTTTCGGATCCCAGAGCCACTGTCGGATTATTCCAATGAATCGCAACAAGTGGGGACTCTAAAGAGATCGTACCCCCGTGAAGCTTTGGCCCCAGAGCCACTGTCGGGATCGACTGAACCGCAACATGTGGAGACTCTTAGGAGGCTTTTGCTGTGGACGCGATACATCCCCTCCCCCTCTCTCTCTTAGAGCTCCGACCCCAGAGCCACTGCCGGGTTCAACTGAACCGCAGCAAGTGGGGACTCTTTAAGAAGTCTTCACCCTAAGTCGCGTTGGAGCTTCGGATCCCAGAGCCACTGTCGGATTATTCCAATGAATCGCAACAAGTGGGGACTCTAAAGAGATCGTATCCCCGTGAAGCTTCGACCCCAGAGCCACTGTCGGGATCGACTGAACCGCAACAAGTGGGGACTCTTAAGAGGTTTTTGCTGTGGACGCGATATACCCCCACCCCCACCCCCCCTCTTAGAGCTTCGACCCCAGAGCCACTGCCGGGTTCAACTGAACCACGCCAAGTGGGGACTCTTTAAGAAGTCTTCGCTCTAAGTCGCGTTGGAGCTTCGGATCCCAGAGCCACTGTTGGGTTCAACTGAACCGCAACAAGTGGGGACTCTGAAGAGATCGTATCCCCGTGAAGCTTCGACCCCAGAGCCACTGTCGGGATCGACTGAACCGCGACAAGTGGGGACTCTTTAAGAAGTCTCTGCCCCGGAAACAACAAGCAACTATCGCCCTAGATTAAGCAACTACCACACTAGATCGAGCAATGGATGCCTCTTGGAGCCCTCGACTGCTGAACCATGACAAGTCACAGTCCTGAAGTCTTCATCAGGCAGCTCCTGGACCACGACAAGGTGGACATCCTCCCAGGAGATCAAGAACTTAGCAAATTACCTCGAATCCGGTCTCATTTTGTGCTCGCTGGCCTGGCCAGATCTATAAAACTGCAGCTGTGACAGCTTGCCCCTTAATAAGATGAACATATGGACCGTCGGTGACCTTGCCACTCACTTTCATTAATTCCTTCTCTTCTCTTGCATTCATACTGTTCCTATCGAGTGTTAAGATTGTCGCTCGGAATTTCTTGTATTGCGTGGCTCTGAATGAGACGTCCACATGTGGGTTTTTTGTCGCTTCGGCGTCCTTCCTAGTAGCTCCGGACTATCTGTAACCTCGGGTCAGTGATGTACTAGAGAATAACTATGATAGACTTCCCTAAACCCAAAATTCAGGCCAGATCCTCAGACGTAAGATCGCTGCTTCAAACTAATCAGTAGAGCTTGGATCGCCATACCTTTGCTTTCCTTCCCTTGTTCTGGAGTACCCTTGGAGCGGCTCGCCGGTTCCTCGAGATCTAACTAGTTTTAGGTTCCAAAAGAGACGTCCACATGTGTGTGTTTCACCGATTCCGCACTAATGATGCTAGGAGTGAGGGTTCAAGAAAACGCAATGAAAAGCGATGCTAGCGAGTCAACAGTGGTGCTTACTTAGACTTTGTCTATCATCCCTTTCTCTTACACATAGAGTTCCAGTGGAGGTTCCAGTTGATAACAAAGTACTCGGAGGTTTCAGGTAGCCTAGACAGGCGTCCACATGTGAGTTTTTGGCCAAATGGTGCAAATATAATGATATGCAACTCACTTTCTTCTCTTCTCTTGTTTCTATACTGTTCCAATGGAGTATTGAGGTTGTCACTCGAAATTTCTTGTTTTCCATCGCTCTGAATGAGACGTCCACATGTGAACTTTTTGCCACTTCGACACCCTTCCTACCTTCCTAATAACTTCAGACCATCCGTAACCTCGGGTCAACGATGTGTTAGAAAATGATAACAACCATGATAGACTTGCCTAAACCCCGGATCATCAGACATAAAGATCACTGCTCAAATCGGCACCGCTCCAGTATTACTCTGGATCACCACACCTCTGCTCTCTTTCTCTTGTTTTAGAGTACCCTGGGAGCAAATCGCCTGCTCCTCAAGATCTGACGAGTGTTAGGTACCAACATAGACGTCCCCAAATGAGTGTTTCACCGATTGCGTATGTACACTGGTGTGAGGATTTAAGGAAATACAGTGGAAAGCGATGCCAGTGAGCAGCGGTGGTGCCGATCCAGGTTCTGTCTATCTTCCCTTTCTCTTACAACATGGAGTTCCAGTGGAGGTTCCAGTTGATAACTGAGTTATCAGGGTTTCAGGCAGTCTAGATAGGCGTCCACATGTGAGCTTTTGGCCAAACGCTGCAAATTCTATGTAATGCCAACAGATAAGCACCGCAGGTAAATACCAGGGGAGTGCAGATTCGAAGGCGTGCAATGGGAAAAATGCCAGCGAGCATGCAAGACAGTGCCAAACATAGCGTCCGTCAATCACTTCCTTCTCAGCGGGCGTTCTGATTGATGCGCAAACACTTGACCGAACCCGGCCATACGCAGTGTCAACAATGCCAGGAAAATGCACGTCTGAGAGTGCGATAAGAAATGAGCAGCGCCAGATCTAACTTCTGTCTTCTCTTGCATATAGAGTTCCAGTCGAGGTTCCAGTTGATAACCGAGAACTCGGAGGTTTCAGGTAGCCTAGATAGGTGTCCACATGTGAGTTTTTGGCCAAACGCTGCAAATATAACGCCATGCAACTCACTTTTGTTAATTATTCCTTCTCTTTTCTTGTTCGTGTACTATTCCTATTGGGAATTAAGGTTGTCACTCAATCCTGTTCTAAAGGAAGAGTCATAAGCAGGGAACGGCTTCCCTCAGGGAATTACGATAGAATCCACTTTGGCACCGGCCAGCTTAGGGTATGTCACTACTGTTGACGTACGGTCCCACTCTCTATATACGGCAACCGTATTGTCCAATCACGCCTCGAACTCCTGGCTACGCTTCCTGATTCACTGCGTTTATCTCTCTTGCTGCACCACAAACCGCCATGAATCTCAATCGCGATGGCACACATTCTCATTCTGCGCATCCACGTCTGTTACACAAGACTGTTTTCTCTTTCGGACTGAGTAGACGCCCAGGCTTGATGTACAACAACAGTCGTTTCTTCAGTTTTATACCGACCGAACCTGAGTGAACCTCTCTCTCTCGCTTTATTTGTTCTCGATGCTTAAAAATGGTATCTCGGGTCTGACGTTAACGCCCTCAAAGCCAGGATTGAGCCTGACCCCGCTCCCATTCGGTATCGGAGAAAGCAGTCAAGATGCCGCGCGGAGGCATGCGATCTGCACACAGAAAGGAGGCTGAGAATACAACTCGATACTTCGTCTATCAACTCTGTCCACCGGGACCACTCTCAATTCTTTACTTCTTTCCGTACCGCAATCCAGCTTCGCAATGCTGATATCCCATGCCTACCATGTACAATGAGTCTTCGTAACCTATCCGCTGCAGATCATCCTTGACACTAGAGCGTTCAGGATGAGATTTCAGTCCTAGGAAGAACCCCCCTCAGCTAGGTTTCCAATTTCTCAACTTGAGGGTGTTTCTGTTCTCAGCGTGGCCATATTTTAAAGTTCGAAACTCTGTCCTTCATCTAGGTTCAACTTGATGATGACGCTTCTGGGCCCGGGACGTACTGGAATAAAGCCTGTGTCGACACAAACCATTTGCTTCTGTGGCGGGAGGATATCATTTTGGTCGCATGCGCGTGTACAGTTCAATGATCTAGGCTCTCGGCTCCACTGACATGTTTATCTATGCTCCCAATCTTTTGCTGTTATTGTCGAGACACCGGACGCGGCTCTAACTGCCAGTCGAGCAAGGATTGCGCAAACTATTCTCGGGCCCAACCTCTGATACCCATTCATGAAGCTGACTATCGAGTGAAAAGTTCTTACACATTGGATTATACAACTACCGAGTTGGGATTATGTCGTTCTTCCTGTGGACGGTGAGGTCGTATATTGGTATGAGGACCGCACCAGCAGTGTACAATTTACAGAAGGCCATCACTCCCCGGGGTCTACTCACTTGGTCTGATTAACACCATTTCCCTTCAAGATCCACTCTGAAGTCTTCCTAGCTTGTTCCTCCTGTTGTTCCTTCGTCAATTCACTCACAGCGGGACGTTTCTCAGGCACGTTAAGGCCCGCCTGAACACCTGGACTGTTGGCAATTCTATCGAGCCATTTCTGTCGATGGACTCGTTAGTTGTGAAGGAATGAAGAACAACATGAGACGTACGGCGAGGTTAGGGAAATCATCGAGGTTATCGATGCCCGACCATGCCCAACCTTTGACCCTATTCCAATGTTCAACAATTAATCAACGCTATCGACTCCTTTAGGATGACGATGACGTGGACGTACCAAGGCCAAACGTTGATATCAGCGATAGAATACTTCCCCTTCCCATATCCAACTAGATAGTCTCGACCTTCATCTTGGGTCAACCTGGCCTCAAGGACGCTATAAAGGCGTTTCGTTTCGGTTATGTAACCTAGGTGGATTCATTCCCAGAAAAGAGATGACGGGAATGGTAGCTTGTTCACTTTCACGAAGGTGAAAGAGAGTGAGGAAGGCGCACATACGGTTTATACCATAGGGGATTTTTTCAGGTGCGTAGCGGTAGAAGTGATTCGCTTGGCCTGTTATCAAACCAGGGGATTTAATTATAACGAAACTCGACGATCTTCAGACTTGACGAACCTTGCATTGGACCAACACCACCATGCTATATGAACAAATCCAAGAAGTTGCGTCAGACTATAGCGCGTTAACACCACATCCGAAAAAATAAACTCACAGCAAAGAATATCCACTGAAGAGCTTCAGATTCCTCATCTGATCCGATCTCAAAACTAATCTTTCTCTCTGGATCCCATCGCTGAACGAGATAAAGAAGTATGGCGGCTGTTTCGAAAACGTTAAAGTGCGATCCGTCTGGGCGGTGGTGGGTCACTGCCGGAATTCGACCATTCGGGTTTATTTGAAGGTACCATGGTTCTTTCTGTTCCAATTTGCTGAAGTCCAGTTTCTAAACGGCAGGGTATGAGAAGTCAGAGGATGCATTGAGTGCCCGTGATTGGAACGTGAACTTGTGGTGCATACTTTGAAATTGTAGCTCAGTCCTCCATCGGGGTACAATTCTTTGAGAGCCTCTGTGAGATATAGGAGAAACCCGAATCATTAGCGCTCGCAATCGCCACACAGGCTAGCCCATACGCACCAAGAGCTATGGAGACTTTGTGGCCATTAGGGGTCGGAGCAGTGTAAAGGGTCAAAGTAGGCGTCGACATGATCGAGCGAGTAGACAAGAGCCTAGTGAATGTGATTCGGAGTCTCGAAGTGCAGTGCAGGGTGAAAGAGCTTTGAGAGATTCCAAGGGGCTGGTCGAATGGAGGAGCAATGAACGGCTTTGGGGGTCATTTATATAGCAGAAATGTCATTTATCCACCACCATGTGGAGGTGTCGTACATGACAAGAATGGCTCCCTTAGGCTGCCGGGTTTCGTCATTGCTGGTAAGATCAACTTGAGGGGTGAGCCGAGCTGGAACTCATTCCGGAAATCATGCACACGTCGCCGCCACACCCTGCTGGTTATGAGAAAATCTGAATTGACGCAGAGGTGGATTCGTAAGGCGTAAAGAAATGAATAAGGATTCATAATATTTGTTTGGGAAAATGACTAAGCGTATTACAGATACAAAGTGTTCTCGAACTGAATATCTAATTCAAGCAGCAAACTGGGAAATGAGAGGATCGCTGTGCCTTTGGGTCGCTCAGACGTTGGACCATTCGTGCCTCGGAATGATATCCGAGAGTGAAAAGAGCATCACGTACGTAGAGTTCTATACTGTAGGGCTGGTAACCTGCCTAGATGAAGGTCCTAAATAATTGCAACGAACCGTGGACGGAAGTACAGAGGAAGGCAGTGACGAAGGGAAACCGGACAACAATGAAGATGAGGGTGGAAAGACGATTTGTTCATCAACGATCGCCTTGACGGAAGGATTGGACCAGCGGAAAGAGATGGACTCTCCTAAGAGTGTATGGAGGAGTGGATGATGGGCTGTTGGGACAAAACGGGCGAGTCTTCGAAAGAAGGGAAAGATTGTATCATATGCGCTGCTAGTGAATTTATATTCGCAAAGATTGTAGGGTGGCAAACCCAAAGACCCAGGTTATGTCATGAAGTTTGTTCGTGGTGGTGAGGGAAATGGTTTGAATCGGTCAGGTCGAAGGGTGCCATGTCGGGGATGTGTACTGAGTGTGCCAAAGCCGAGTGCGGGCGTTCGAGTCGTCGGAGTCGTCCAAGTTAGAAAGTGAGGTAGTGCCAGTGATACAACCATTAAGAAAGCATGGCGGGTAAAAGCATCACCGGACGTGTCTTCAGAAACTAGGATGCCAGGAAGATTAGTACCCACAATCCCATTGAAACCGGAAATGGGACAGATCATACGGGACTTACCAAGTACGATCCCACCTTATCCTCCGCCACCGCGAATGCCGTTAGTGCAGTCGACCAAGTTCCTATTCACGACTCCCCGATACAACTACTCATCCGCAACGAATCCACGGTCTTCATCAGCATCGCAATCGTACGTACTCCCACAACGATCCTAACAACAATGTCTTGAATAGCGCATCGAAGTCGGTGGTTATTCAACGGTCGATAGAGTCCAAGCGAGAGTTCCTTTCGTATGCTAGAAGGGACTGCTGATGGTGCTACTGGTGGAAGGGATGATGGGAGGGAGGGGATGACAGTTGCAACAGCTGCCCATTGGGGTGTAGTGAAGCGTTCCGAGATTACGCGCGGTGGGATAACGACAGTGATGGTTCAGGAGGAAGGCAGAAAGAAGACTGGCAAACAAAGCCAGGGGCGCGCAGTGAAATGGGCAGGTTGGAAATGAATACGCCTCTAAATGCACCATCAAGTCGGTGTTAAAAAAAAAGGAAGCTAGAGGCCTTATCGATTAGTCGTGGTGACGTCCGGGTGCCAAGAAATCAGTGAAGGTTCAACCTTCATGTTCCTAAATGACATGATCCCGCGTAGCGTGCTCCAAGGAATTCAGGGTTGTAAGCAGTACGGTGTGAGGTTGTCAGAGAAATGCCGAGTTCGCCGAGTCGAGGTCGACATCCGAGGGTTGGGTTGCCTGCCCATACCTTGACGTCACCACAACTCAATTGACATTACACAACCTCCGTCGAATCATCCCTCTTGTATTCGGATGGATCAAATCAAAGTTTGTTGTCCCTTACGTATTGGAGGTCGATATCCCCAAACGCAGTTCAAGTCCCCAACTTATCACTAGACTATGTCAACTAGTCGGCTTCGTCTTTTCATTGCACCAGCATTCGTCATCCATCCAAACCTCGGCGTCATCACCTATGATGATATGCAGAAAAATGGGCCAGTACTTTGGCGATGAGCAAGCAATGGCAGGCAAAATGGTTTAGCTGAACAAATGAACACCCGATATAAAAAATTGTAAGATACGACCCTGGTCTGTTATGAGTGTAACGGCTAGCAAACTCTGTGGAGGTATAGTCAACAGTTTCTAACAAAAAAACTGGGATAGAGTTGTCAGTGTTCTCGAGTTGAACGCCCCCTTTCGTGCATGCAGCATGAGCATTATGGTGTGGTTGGCCCATGCCGGGAAATGGAAATGATAAGCGGAATGGGGAAGACCAAAGAACCGAGGCCACTCAATCGCGGACCATTAGTGCATCGAAATGACGCCCGAGATTGGAGAGTGCAGTATGGAGATTGTTGAGCGAGTGAGCCAATCCTGGAGCATGTGCTCCTGGGTTAACAACAACTAGCTGGCGCCAGATTTGAACACATTCTGCAATGGATAGGAGTGCCTCCGAGTGCCGTCCGAGACTGGAAAGAGTTGCATATAGATTGTTGAGTGACGTGGCCAAACCTGGGGTGTATGATCCTGGGTGAACAGCAACTAGCTGGCGTCGGAGTTTGACACTTTCTTCAATGAATGGGAGCGCCTCTGAGTCCCGTCCCAGATTGGAAAGAGCATTGCATAGGTTGCTGAGTGACTTGGCCAAATCCGGGGTGTATGATCCTGGGTGAACAACAACCAGCTGGCGGTAAAGTTTGACGCTCTCTTCGATAAATGGGAGTGCCTCCGAGTGCCGTCCAAGACGGGAAAGAGCAATACGTAGATTATTGAGTGACGAAGCCAAATTCGGGGTGTATGATCCTGGATGAATGGCAACTAGTTGCCGGTAGAGTTTGACGCTTTCTTCAATGAATGGGAGTGCCTCCGAGTGCCGTCTGAGATTGGAAAGAGTGGAAGCTAGATTGCTGAGTGACGTGGCCAAACCTGGGATGTATGATCCTGGGTGGATGGCAACTAGCTGGCGTTGGAGTTTGACACTTTCTTCAATGAATGGGAGCGCCTCTGAATGCTGTCCCAGATCGGAAAGAGCATTGCATAGGCTGCCGAGTAACACGGCCAAATGCGGGGTGTACGATCCTGGATGAACGGCAACTAGTTGCCGGTAGAGTTTGACGCTTTCTTCAATGAATGGGAGTGCCTCCGAGTGCCGTCCAAGATTGGAAAGAGTGACATATAGATTGTTGAGTGACCCGGCCAAATCCGGGGTTTGGGTGAACAGCAACTAGCTGGCGTCGGAGCTTGACGCTTTCTTCGATGAATGGGAGCGCCTCCGAGTGCCGTCCCAGATTGGAAAGAGCATTGCATAGGTTGTTGAGTGACCTGGCCAAATCTGGGTATATAATCCTGGGTGAACAGTAACTAGCTGGCGGTAGAGTTTGGCGCTTTCTTCAATAAATGGGAGCGCCTCCGAGTGCCGTCCAAGATTCGAAAGAGTGCAATATAGACTGTTGAGTGACTCGGCCAAATCGAGGTGTAGGTCCCTGGGTCCAGAGAAACAAGGTCACGGCAGAACACAACGGAATCATTCGCTGCTCATAAGCCTCTGGAATCTTGAAAAAAAATCCAAATTCCCACAAGCTGGATAAGCTCATTGGCCAATGCACAATAGCATCCTTGGACCGGTGCTCAACAGCTGACTAGAAGATCATGAGGTAGTTTCATTAATACAATTGATAACACATGCCTTAGCCCACTTGGGTAGTGACGAGATACTAATGTAGCCCTCCATTCTCACACAGACTTCCACCCAGCGAGTTGCTTCCTGAGTGAGAAATACAGCAACTGACACAGCAAGCCCCTCCTCCGGTTCCTGGACTCCACTGAGGTGATGGACAATATGGCGACATGCATAATGAAAGTGCTCGGATAACTCCTCTCGAGGAATGCGCGGCATTTCGTCTTTTTGGACAGATTTTCAATCAGTCCTAAGCCCTTACAGAGGAAAGATCCTGGTTGAGAATCTCGGTACATCGCAGGGCAACCCTGGCATTCTGTCTCACATCTACTGACCGCAGCTGGGGTTGATTGATCGGGGTCGATTCGATCCGATAAAGTCACGGAAGGATTGTGTAGATCGAATCGGAATGTGATCCCAACCTGAGAGGAGAGGTGCAAGTTCGGCCAAACATATATCGAACAGAGATTTGAAAGGTGACAAAATGGCTATCCCAGCTTGCGACAGATAGAGGCTGCTGCGCAATGAAGATTGCTCCCATCACGATGGGTAGTCATATGCAAACCTTCATCTTCCAATTACACTCTTCAGAATGCTTGTATACAAGCGATCCATCATTCCTCAGCAGGGACCTTTGATCGTTTGGCACAGTGTCAAGCAGGCTCTACGTCTCATAGGATCCTTGTTGGCCGTCTTCATGTAGCGAAAGATGGTGCTGATCCAAACAAACAACCATTTGCGTTCTGAGATCTCCTGTACTTTCTTATCCTCGTCCTGAAGATTATGGCGTAATCCGGATGTACTTTCTTCAGCACTTGAAGCTGGAATGTATGTATGTAGTCAGTCCTTCAAATTTGCCCATCCGAAAGATCAATAGTGAGACGATCGATAGGGTAATTGGGGGAGAGGTAGCGATTCACGAGATCAAATTGTCTCGATGTGATAAAGAATTTAATGGAAGATGGTAGCTAGGCACCTCCCAAGAATTTCGGCAAGGGCTCAAACGCTTCTTTATCGCATTCATCTAAAGCATCGATGATGACCACCATAGGACGGTCGGGAGTGGAGGTTTTGTCGGAGAGGCGAAGCCACCAAATCCCTCGAATTGCTTCGCGAGTGGGCGTTGAGAGGGAAGGTCTTTTCAGAGCAGAGATAATGAAAGTGCGGTAAACCGGGTCATGGTCTGCTAAAGCCCGAGCTATGCCGCTGAATAGAGAATCGGGCCGTGACCGTTCGCCAGCTTTAAAGAAGAAGTGCAGTAACAGGGTAACGTCCTCTTCACTCGCACACCGTTCTGCTATCGTGAGCGTAATCGAAGTCTTCCGGCACCGCCACAGCTGTCAGTAGCATTAACCGGTTCTCACTCTCCCCAGTGTTGCGGCACCATGTCATAATATGCTCGGTGAGATCCACCCTAGTGCCTTCTAGGCATGCCTGAGTCGAATCATCGTGGGCGATATGAGGGAATCGGAGACTATCCAAGATTTTGTCATCCTGTAGACGACGTTCTATGGCCGCTAATTTGGCGCCGCCTATTAGGTTCGCCCTAAGCTGCATCGGCCGAAAAAATCAGAATGATTATGGAACGATACTGTGAAAACCTACCTGAAACGATGTCAATGCTTTGTCAAAATCTTTCTTTAGGTCATCGATCCTTCCTGGGTCTCTCAAGTAGGACAATGCATTCATGAAAGCCGGTCGTTTCTCCAATTTTTTCAGTCTTCGATCGATGTCGGACTTGATCTTCCGTAGCGCGCTAGGACTTGATGTAAGCAACGGTGTCGGGGACAACCAAAAAATAAATACAACTTACTCATCAAGCTTCGTGATACTCTCCACCCACGGCTTTGCCTCTTCCGCTGATGGATCATAGGATTTTATGGCTAAAATCACCTCGGTCACAGTGTCGACTACATGTTGACCAAAACCAGCCCATTCCTTCTTGTTGTCCTTGAACTTCTAAGTACGTGGCGCAAACTAGTGTGAGCTTGCATTCAAGGCCGGTCACAAACCATTGCTAACCTGAACCTCGTCGAGGATGGAGAGTGCACCGCCAGTCGCCATTTTTAGCGGGGGACACCAATCAGCCGTATTATTGACAACCCGGAGGATTGGGACCGCTATGGCACCACCCGCTACGAGGAGATCATCGATCTTTTGCCTGAGGACCTCAGCCTTTTGCTGCAATGACATGGTCGATAGCGGACAAGTGACGGAGAGTGCGCAATACACGTGTGAGCCCCTGATACTCAGAGCCACGGGGCCTCCGCCTGATTATGGAAGGATATGATATATGCATTTACTTTAGTAGAGGCTGGATTCTGCCTAGCATTTAGTCTAATCCGATGTCAACGCGAATTCTAGCATGCGCGTTGGCATGACCCAGACTGGTTATGACAGCGAGAGAATTAGTATGACCCCTGCTTGCTGACTTATAGGACCTCATATGTAAGTCGTAATCAGGCACGAGTTGCAGCGATCGCTTCGTACCGAGGGCCCACGGTAAGCGCCCCACGACGTTTCACGACGGTCATCCCGTTCCTCAAGGGAGCGATTAGCTTTTAATTAAGCTCTTAGGATGCAGGCAAGTGGGTGTCGGCTGTACGTCAAAGCTTGTCATTTTTCAGCTATCGTTTTCTGGAACCCAACCTCAACTTCCCTTTCCTTTTGATCAAGCGCCGCTCTCTAGACTGCGCCCTGAAAGCTCCAGGGCCCCACTGTACGCGTGTCGCGACCATCCCATGTCGCCTCGACCCATTCAAGTTGGCGGTGAAGCTGTTTTCGTGGCGCTTGTGGAACCAATACTTGTTCTACTTGTTGTGCCGCGTCATATTCGATCGTGCTCCGGTCACCACTAGTCGGGGTGATACCCGTCGGCGAATAAATTGGCCCCCACAAGTACTTCGACTACTACTTCCCAACACATTGATATAATCAACTAATATAGCGCCGCTGTGCCACGCGATTTCAGCGCAGGCTGGCATCCCTAGCGTCTCATCATGGTCGTCCCATCCCTCATCGTAGAGGCGCGATCGGCTTTTATTTAAGCTTTTAGGATGTGGGTGTCAGCTGTGCGCCAAAGCTATTCAGACAGTATAAAAAGGCTTACATTTAGCTATCGTTGAAGTCGTTTTCCGCAACCCAATATATTTTCCTTTTGGTCTCTGGACAGCGCCTTGAAAGGCTCCACTGTACCTGCGCGCTGCAAGCATCCCACGAGGCCTCGACCCATTCGGTGGGGTTGTTCCAGTGCCGCTTGTGGGCCAACACTGTGCCACTTGGTTGTGGCCTGATGCGTCATATTCGATCGTGCTCTGGTCACCGCTGGGTGTGCATGACCACCCATCGCTGAATAAGATTGGCCGCTACGTGTACACTACTTCGACTACTTCCCAACGCATTGATAGAAGAATAAAATCTCAACATACTCCATACATTACAGCAAATATCAACGATGGTGAAGCCAAGCTCCCCTATACAGTACCACATACCCTACACCCTAGATGTGCCAGCCGCTTTGCCTCCGCTTCCCCCGCCATCCAATAGTGCGCTGCACCGACCAATAGTGCCAATACGAGAAGTGAGTTTTAGGGACGTATGGCTTATTATCGTATCTACATATGACGGAATAAAATGCCACATTTCAAGTCCAGCAAAACAGAGCGGGACTCAGCCTCAAGCATAACCCAACTTTGAAACTGAGAAAAAGAACGAATTAACACTGGTATCGAGAATACCAGAAAGGGCAGACTGACAATAACCCGATGGGAATACTGCAGCGCGTTCAAGATCAGATCAATATTTTATCCGTGTGCTCGCCACAATAACAACAACGATTGGACAACGACGAACGAGAAGAAAAACACCCAATGATCAAAGCTTAAGTGCCTTAAGAAGTCTCGGCAAATCAGGCGTTCCAAATCCAGTTGCAGGGTCCCAACCTCTCGTCGCATTGAACCCTGTCGTTCCACAACCTGGGTTGCTACCCGTAGTGATGTCGTTCAGGACTCCCGTTTGAGAGAGTAAATCCATGGGTTGCTGCCCGTGTTGAGCTAGCGCTTCGGTGAGCGGGTGCCTGAGGAAGGGAGAAACAAACAAACGTACAGAAATCCGAGAGGTCTGCGACCTTTGGAGAGTAGAGCATCGTTAGAGGGCAATCTAAGATGCAGTATACATCGTTGCTTAGGTCTGCGAGGAGAGAATGAAAAAGGAAATGGAACTCACTATCGCAGCAAAAGTAGGTGTCGAAGCGCTCGTACCGAGACACGTATGACTTTCCCTTGATACACGATGAAATACCGATATCCCTGCACAGAGGATGAGTGAGAACCATCAGATCAAGCGATCCTCGAGGACGAAGCAAGCCAGACGCATAAAGAAACTCACTGAGCCGCAACATCAGGATAGGCTCCCCATTTTGTTGAACAATCTTCATACGTGCTTCCGAGTGTTTTAAGGTATTCGGTACTGCATGGTGTTGGTACATGGGCGGGGGAAGTAATCACTAAATCTCCTCCGAGAAGCGAACTGTTGTTTCGGGAATTTGGTAGTCGCCCCAACAGTCGTGACGCTTCAAGCAGCACGACTTAATGTTCACCACAGATATAGGGAAAATACATAGAAAACTCACTATGGCACCCACCAGGAAGATAGGAACGAACCTATTGGGGGTGAAACAAGCTCCTGTTCCCATGCGGCCTACACCTCCATCGCCGAGGCATGCAGAGCGCTAACACCCGCGTCCAAGTGCAGCGTAAGCTTGCACACACGTCGGGCGTAGTTGATTGGAACTGTATTCTCATCCTCACTTCATATAATTTCGAAATTCCGCGGTCCCCAATGGTGTTAGAGTGAAACTTTTGGGTCCAGAGGAAATAGGATGCAGAGACTCACATAACTGGTAGTCACACTTGAGGAAGATCCTTCGTTTTCTTCCTGAGGTAAGTGAGAAAACGTCGTAGCTGTGGATTGTGATAATTTAGTAGATTCATATGAATACGGGTTTGGCATCCGCTCACGGTTCATTCCCGTTATCCTCATAGCTGATGCTCTGGTTCGTATTTTGGCCGCGACCATATGTACTGTAGAATACTAATTAAGAAGAAATGGTGTTAGATAGTTAAAATGGTACTGATTCAAGCCGTACGTACTTTGCTTGACAGGGTACTGCGATCAAAACAGATTCCATGGGGCGATGAGTAACCGGAATCTGCATTGCACAGAGGTGAGGTAGCTCACGATACCCCTCCCGCGAATTGGACATCCAAATTCTGTGAATTTAAGAGGAATGCAAAAACCGAGGGGTTAGTGTTCAAATTTTATACATATAAGGCGTGAAAAGAAAGAGAAAAAGAAAGTGGGAATGAAGAATCGAGATTCAAAGGAATTACAGCCTCGATGCCAGCTCGGAAATGTTCCGAGAGCGATTGCTCCTATGTAACAGCGACAACAAGAAGAGAAAAAAAATGCATCAATGATAACGAAATGCCACAACGATGAACTTTACGTTGATAAGCCCACATGGAGGGCACTCTTCAGCGCTGGAGGATGAAATGGAATAAACTGTTTGAGGTCAGCAAAGTTGGCATATTGCTCGAGGTACCTAAAATGAGAAAACATCACATTTTAGTTTAAACAGTTGATGGGAATTCCGAGAGCGAAACAATTTAGCATGTGATGATACTACCCGGTGATACCGATTGAACTCGCGTTCCTTTAGCCTTGTACGCATCGGTGCGATAGAGCGTTTTAAGCTTGGGAGTGAATGTTTGGTTGTGGTGATGGTACTGGGGTGGGAGCGCTTTGCTGGTTGAAGCACCATCATCACTATCAGAGACGACAAGAGGTCGACCAGAAGGGGAGTAGTTCGTAGGCTGAACGACGTCGATATGGTCGTGCAGGTGAGCAGGAAGACTATATGACGTTGTACGAATCGCAGTGAGTCTGGTCTCGTGGTTGCATATATTGAAAAGGTTGTGTCGAGAATTTCTCTGCGATTTCAATGGTGTCTTGAGTGAGATCCAATCACTTGCGGGTGTTCGTTGGAGTGCGTCGCGTGTGATATCGATGCCGTGCGAGACAAGAAAAGATTCGAGCAGGATGATACTTTCTGAGGAGCGGAGAACTCTTCGACTCTTCTTTGCTTAAGTGCTCAGTCATCGGGGCTAGATGGATCGCTTATTTCAAACGGTGAAAGTAAGGCTAGGTGAGCCCAAACGGAGAGTGATGGGAGTGCGAGGCGAGGAATGCCATGGTGGGTCCATCCCCGAGGCAGTCGGATCGAGCTCTTCTCGACAAAATGGGGTGCTGGAAGTGCGGCGCACACCCAACTCAATAAGGGGAGAGCAGAAACGAGCAATGCCAACGAGGGAACCATTCGAGACACCTTCCGCTCAACTGCTCAAGGACTGAAAACGGGGGGACACGAGCGCATTGCAGAGAGGCCAGATGCGATCCTTAAATCCACATCGATCGAGGCGGGGAAAAACAGCCGGACGGATGCCTCTGAGGAACATCTTTGAAGGGAATTAAGCAAAGTGACTTCCCGCAATAGGTCCCATACAAATTGAACGCCACAAAGTGGATGAGGAACCAGATGGATCGCTGACGATGTGCAAATGCGGAGTGATCTAAATATAAAGCTAATGTAGACTGCATAATGTACGTATATAGCACACAATATGTGACACGCTTACTTCTTCTCTGCCATAGCCAGTGACCAGCTCTATGGATTCTGTCATGCACGCGAGATTCACAGCGATTCCAACAAGATCATAGAACGACGGCGGGTGATGAGACCACACATCACACGTTCGCTCCGACTCTCCAGCTCCAAAGCGAAGGACTCAGATAGCACTACAGTCAGAAAAAGGGTGTTGGTGTGGCAAGGTTGGCGATCACGAGATTGGTGAGCGATAGTGGCGTTGGGATTGAACTGGGGCCGGCAGGTGGATTAGGTTTAGAACTTGGCTACTAGCTAGTCCTGAACTTGTTCCTTGCGCATGTTTCGCGACTAGCCTAAGATTGAAGTGGGTCTCAAGAATTACGTGAATATGCTCGTCTCTCAACTTCCTGCATGATGTCTGCGTGCTCGGGAAGCTTTCACTATACTACAATGGGCTTAGAGCAGCCAGTACAGTGAGAACGGGTTATGTGACACGAATTTATTTAATTTATTCCCACGGCTACAAGTCGTTCGACATCACTAATATCCTAACTCCAGTCTAGAGAGTACCTCGCTTACTTACTAGTATATCCTCCAGCTGCATGTGTAGATGGCCTCAATTCTTTTGCTTACCATGTGGCTTTTTTGTCACAACGACGCCGCTTGGTGCTGAAATGCATGCAACAGCAGAGAAATTGCGTATGCTGCCGGTGTCTCCTACGACCTGACTTCCACGGTTCGGATAACTAGTACTGTATCATGCTGGACCGGGGCCTAAGAAAGAATGAACATTATACCAATCGGCCGAATGTACACCTGCCACCCGTGGACGTTACCAGCCGACTCCGTCCCCTTCTGCTCTGGTTACATGTCCTCAGTACGCTTCCTTGCACCGAGGCACCTGGAAAACATGGAGAATTTCTTTACCTTTTGTTCGTAGGATTTAGGAAGTGGGACTCCCTTCCTTGATGTGGCGTCTCCGTGTTTGAGAGCGCCTCCTACATATCGATCCGTATATAACCCAGCTTATTCTAGCTACAAGCCTAGACATTTTTACCACCCTTAATTAGCTGGTTCCATTGAATACGCATGCAGCTGGTTAGCATATGGCCTTTCGAATCGATCGATCTGTCGATGATCGCTTAACAACGCCTGCGGCTAGCCTGGCTTCTACCGATTGACTCAAATATCGCTGAGACGCCAAGAGGAGATTGTACTTTGGTACTCTAACGGCATTGGCTAGCTTTGTCTCGCTGTACTCTCGTTGGCAGAATGCTTGCTCTTGACAGGGAACTCCTTCGGGGTGCATGTGTATAAAATTGGAACGATACATATACTAAGCTAGTCGCACCAGATCGGATTATCTAAATCTGGAATCAACGAACATGAGCGCCCGTGTCAATGGCAATTGTATCAGGATGGATTTTGTGAAACAGCCCCAACAGTAGTTCTATCTAGCGAATGTACGCCGCATCCAAGCTTTTTTGCTCCTTGAGTCCTGGCAACATAGAAGAAAACTCTGTCCCGTCGATACCAGTTCCATAAATAACTATCACTGAGACTAAGAATTGGATGCCTCTTGGAGCCTCGACTGCTGAACTATGACAAGTCACAGCTCTGAAGTCTTCATCAGGTAGCCCCTGGACCACGACAAGGTGGACATCCTCCCAGGGGAACGTCACCAACAAACGACCACATAGATCAAGCAAGCAACTATCCCTCTCCCCTTCTCCCCCTCTTAGAGCTTTGACCCCAGAGCCACTGCCGGGTTCAACTGAACCGCAGCAAGTGGGGACTCTTTAAGAAGTCATTTCACCCTGAGGCGCGTTGGAGTTTCGGATCCCAGAGCCACTGTCGGATTATTCCAATGAATCGCAACAAGTGGGGACTCTAAAGAGATCGTACCCCCGTGAAGCTTTGGCCCAGAGCCACTGTCGGATCGACTGAACCGCAACATGTGGAGACTCTTAGGAGGCTTTTGCTGTGGACGCGATACATCCCCTCCCCCTCTCTCTCTTAGAGCTCCGACCCCAGAGCCACTGCCGGGTTCAACTGAACCGCAGCAAGTGGGGACTCTTTAAGAAGTCTTCACCCTAAGTCGCGTTGGAGCTTCGGATCCCAGAGCCACTGTCGGATTATTCCAATGAATCGCAACAAGTGGGGACTCTAAAGAGATCGTATCCCCGTGAAGCTTCGACCCCAGAGCCACTGTCGGGATCGACTGAACCGCAACAAGTGGGGACTCTTAAGAGGTTTTTGCTGTGGACGCGATATACCCCCACCCCCACCCCCCCTCTTAGAGCTTCGACCCCAGAGCCACTGCCGGGTTCAACTGAACCACGCCAAGTGGGGACTCTTTAAGAAGTCTTCGCTCTAAGTCGCGTTGGAGCTTCGGATCCCAGAGCCACTGTTGGGTTCAACTGAACCGCAACAAGTGGGGACTCTGAAGAGATCGTATCCCGTGAAGCTTCGACCCCAGAGCCACTGTCGGGATCGACTGAACCGCGACAAGTGGGGACTCTTTAAGAAGTCTCTGCCCCGGAAACAACAAGCAACTATCGCCCTAGATTAAGCAACTACCACACTAGATCGAGCAATGGATGCCTCTTGGAGCCCTCGACTGCTGAACCATGACAAGTCACAGTCCTGAAGTCTTCATCAGGCAGCTCCTGGACCACGACAAGGTGGACATCCTCCCAGGAGATCAAGAACTTAGCAAATTACCTCGAATCCGGTCTCATTTTGTGCTCGCTGGCCTGGCCAGATCTATAAAACTGCAGCTGTGACAGCTTGCCCCTTAATAAGATGAACATATGGACCGTCGGTGACCTTGCCACTCACTTTCATTAATTCCTTCTCTTCTCTTGCATTCATACTGTTCCTATCGAGTGTTAAGATTGTCGCTCGGAATTTCTTGTATTGCGTGGCTCTGAATGAGACGTCCACATGTGGGTTTTTTGTCGCTTCGGCGTCCTTCCTAGTAGCTCCGGACTATCTGTAACCTCGGGTCAGTGATGTACTAGAGAATAACTATGATAGACTTCCCTAAACCCAAAATTCAGGCCAGATCCTCAGACGTAAGATCGCTGCTTCAAACTAATCAGTAGAGCTTGGATCGCCATACCTTTGCTTTCCTTCCCTTGTTCTGGAGTACCCTTGGAGCGGCTCGCCGGTTCCTCGAGATCTAACTAGTTTTAGGTTCCAAAAGAGACGTCCACATGTGTGTGTTTCACCGATTCCGCACTAATGATGCTAGGAGTGAGGGTTCAAGAAAACGCAATGAAAAGCGATGCTAGCGAGTCAACAGTGGTGCTTACTTAGACTTTGTCTATCATCCCTTTCTCTTACACATAGAGTTCCAGTGGAGGTTCCAGTTGATAACAAAGTACTCGGAGGTTTCAGGTAGCCTAGACAGGCGTCCACATGTGAGTTTTTGGCCAAATGGTGCAAATATAATGATATGCAACTCACTTTCTTCTCTTCTCTTGTTTCTATACTGTTCCAATGGAGTATTGAGGTTGTCACTCGAAATTTCTTGTTTTCCATCGCTCTGAATGAGACGTCCACATGTGAACTTTTTGCCACTTCGACACCCTTCCTACCTTCCTAATAACTTCAGACCATCCGTAACCTCGGGTCAACGATGTGTTAGAAAATGATAACAACCATGATAGACTTGCCTAAACCCCGGATCATCAGACATAAAGATCACTGCTCAAATCGGCACCGCTCCAGTATTACTCTGGATCACCACACCTCTGCTCTCTTTCTCTTGTTTTAGAGTACCCTGGGAGCAAATCGCCTGCTCCTCAAGATCTGACGAGTGTTAGGTACCAACATAGACGTCCCCAAATGAGTGTTTCACCGATTGCGTATGTACACTGGTGTGAGGATTTAAGGAAATACAGTGGAAAGCGATGCCAGTGAGCAGCGGTGGTGCCGATCCAGGTTCTGTCTATCTTCCCTTTCTCTTACAACATGGAGTTCCAGTGGAGGTTCCAGTTGATAACTGAGTTATCAGGGGTTTCAGGCAGTCTAGATAGGCGTCCACATGTGAGCTTTTGGCCAAACGCTGCAAATTCTATGTAATGCCAACAGATAAGCACCGCAGGTAAATACCAGGGGAGTGCAGATTCGAAGGCGTGCAATGGGAAAAATGCCAGCGAGCATGCAAGACAGTGCCAAACATAGCGTCCGTCAATCACTTCCTTCTCAGCGGGCGTTCTGATTGATGCGCAAACACTTGACCGAACCCGGCCATACGCAGTGTCAACAATGCCAGGAAAATGCACGTCTGAGAGTGCGATAAGAAATGAGCAGCGCCAGATCTAACTTCTGTCTTCTCTTGCATATAGAGTTCCAGTCGAGGTTCCAGTTGATAACCGAGAACTCGGAGGTTTCAGGTAGCCTAGATAGGTGTCCACATGTGAGTTTTTGGCCAAACGCTGCAAATATAACGCCATGCAACTCACTTTTGTTAATTATTCCTTCTCTTTTCTTGTTCGTGTACTATTCCTATTGGGAATTAAGGTTGTCACTCAATCCTGTTCTAAAGGAAGAGTCATAAGCAGGGAACGGCTTCCCTCAGGGAATTACGATAGAATCCACTTTGGCACCGGCCAGCTTAGGGTATGTCACTACTGTTGACGTACGGTCCCACTCTCTATATACGGCAACCGTATTGTCCAATCACGCCCTCGAACTCCTGGCTACGCTTCCTGATTCACTGCGTTTATCTCTCTTGCTGCACCACAAACCGCCATGAATCTCAATCGCGATGGCACACATTCTCATTCTGCGCATCCACGTCTGTTACACAAGACTGTTTTCTCTTTCGGACTGAGTAGACGCCCAGGCTTGATGTACAACAACAGTCGTTTCTTCAGTTTTATACCGACCGAACCTGAGTGAACCTCTCTCTCTCGCTTTATTTGTTCTCGATGCTTAAAAATGGTATCTCGGGTCTGACGTTAACGCCCTCAAAGCCAGGATTGAGCCTGACCCCGCTCCCATTCGGTATCGGAGAAAGCAGTCAAGATGCCGCGCGGAGGCATGCGATCTGCACACAGAAAGGAGGCTGAGAATACAACTCGATACTTCGTCTATCAACTCTGTCCACCGGGACCACTCTCAATTCTTTACTTCTTTCCGTACCGCAATCCAGCTTCGCAATGCTGATATCCCATGCCTACCATGTACAATGAGTCTTCGTAACCTATCCGCTGCAGATCATCCTTGACACTAGAGCGTTCAGGATGAGATTTCAGTCCTAGGAAGAACCCCCCTCAGCTAGGTTTCCAATTTCTCAACTTGAGGGTGTTTCTGTTCTCAGCGTGGCCATATTTTAAAGTTCGAAACTCTGTCCTTCATCTAGGTTCAACTTGATGATGACGCTTCTGGGCCCGGGACGTACTGGAATAAAGCCTGTGTCGACACAAACCATTTGCTTCTGTGGCGGGAGGATATCATTTTGGTCGCATGCGCGTGTACAGTTCAATGATCTAGGCTCTCGGCTCCACTGACATGTTTATCTATGCTCCCAATCTTTTGCTGTTATTGTCGAGACACCGGACGCGGCTCTAACTGCCAGTCGAGCAAGGATTGCGCAAACTATTCTCGGGCCCAACCTCTGATACCCATTCATGAAGCTGACTATCGAGTGAAAAGTTCTTACACATTGGATTATACAACTACCGAGTTGGGATTATGTCGTTCTTCCTGTGGACGGTGAGGTCGTATATTGGTATGAGGACCGCACCAGCAGTGTACAATTTACAGAAGGCCATCACTCCCCGGGGTCTACTCACTTGGTCTGATTAACACCATTTCCCTTCAAGATCCACTCTGAAGTCTTCCTAGCTTGTTCCTCCTGTTGTTCCTTCGTCAATTCACTCACAGCGGGACGTTTCTCAGGCACGTTAAGGCCCGCCTGAACACCTGGACTGTTGGCAATTCTATCGAGCCATTTCTGTCGATGGACTCGTTAGTTGTGAAGGAATGAAGAACAACATGAGACGTACGGCGAGGTTAGGGAAATCATCGAGGTTATCGATGCCCGACCATGCCCAACCTTTGACCCTATTCCAATGTTCAACAATTAATCAACGCTATCGACTCCTTTAGGATGACGATGACGTGGACGTACCAAGGCCAAACGTTGATATCAGCGATAGAATACTTCCCCTTCCCATATCCAACTAGATAGTCTCGACCTTCATCTTGGGTCAACCTGGCCTCAAGGACGCTATAAAGGCGTTTCGTTTCGGTTATGTAACCTAGGTGGATTCATTCCCAGAAAAGAGATGACGGGAATGGTAGCTTGTTCACTTTCACGAAGGTGAAAGAGAGTGAGGAAGGCGCACATACGGTTTATACCATAGGGGATTTTTTCAGGTGCGTAGCGGTAGAAGTGATTCGCTTGGCCTGTTATCAAACCAGGGGATTTAATTATAACGAAACTCGACGATCTTCAGACTTGACGAACCTTGCATTGGACCAACACCACCATGCTATATGAACAAATCCAAGAAGTTGCGTCAGACTATAGCGCGTTAACACCACATCCGAAAAAATAAACTCACAGCAAAGAATATCCACTGAAGAGCTTCAGATTCCTCATCTGATCCGATCTCAAAACTAATCTTTCTCTCTGGATCCCATCGCTGAACGAGATAAAGAAGTATGGCGGCTGTTTCGAAAACGTTAAAGTGCGATCCGTCTGGGCGGTGGTGGGTCACTGCCGGAATTCGACCATTCGGGTTTATTTGAAGGTACCATGGTTCTTTCTGTTCCAATTTGCTGAAGTCCAGTTTCTAAACGGCAGGGGTATGAGAAGTCAGAGGATGCATTGAGTGCCCGTGATTGGAACGTGAACTTGTGGTGCATACTTTGAAATTGTAGCTCAGTCCTCCATCGGGGTACAATTCTTTGAGAGCCTCTGTGAGATATAGGAGAAACCCGAATCATTAGCGCTCGCAATCGCCACACAGGCTAGCCCATACGCACCAAGAGCTATGGAGACTTTGTGGCCATTAGGGGTCGGAGCAGTGTAAAGGGTCAAAGTAGGCGTCGACATGATCGAGCGAGTAGACAAGAGCCTAGTGAATGTGATTCGGAGTCTCGAAGTGCAGTGCAGGGTGAAAGAGCTTTGAGAGATTCCAAGGGGCTGGTCGAATGGAGGAGCAATGAACGGCTTTGGGGGTCATTTATATAGCAGAAATGTCATTTATCCACCACCATGTGGAGGTGTCGTACATGACAAGAATGGCTCCCTTAGGCTGCCGGGTTTCGTCATTGCTGGTAAGATCAACTTGAGGGGTGAGCCGAGCTGGAACTCATTCCGGAAATCATGCACACGTCGCCGCCACACCCTGCTGGTTATGAGAAAATCTGAATTGACGCAGAGGTGGATTCGTAAGGCGTAAAGAAATGAATAAGGATTCATAATATTTGTTTGGGAAAATGACTAAGCGTATTACAGATACAAAGTGTTCTCGAACTGAATATCTAATTCAAGCAGCAAACTGGGAAATGAGAGGATCGCTGTGCCTTTGGGTCGCTCAGACGTTGGACCATTCGTGCCTCGGAATGATATCCGAGAGTGAAAAGAGCATCACGTACGTAGAGTTCTATACTGTAGGGGCTGGTAACCTGCCTAGATGAAGGTCCTAAATAATTGCAACGAACCGTGGACGGAAGTACAGAGGAAGGCAGTGACGAAGGGAAACCGGACAACAATGAAGATGAGGGTGGAAAGACGATTTGTTCATCAACGATCGCCTTGACGGAAGGATTGGACCAGCGGAAAGAGATGGACTCTCCTAAGAGTGTATGGAGGAGTGGGATGATGGGCTGTTGGGACAAAACGGGCGAGTCTTCGAAAGAAGGGAAAGATTGTATCATATGCGCTGCTAGTGAATTTATATTCGCAAAGATTGTAGGGTGGCAAACCCCAAAGACCCAGGTTATGTCATGAAGTTTGTTCGTGGTGGTGAGGGAAATGGTTTGAATCGGTCAGGTCGAAGGGTGCCATGTCGGGGATGTGTACTGAGTGTGCCAAAGCCGAGTGCGGGCGTTCGAGTCGTCGGAGTCGTCCAAGTTAGAAAGTGAGGTAGTGCCAGTGATACAACCATTAAGAAAGCATGGCGGGTAAAAGCATCACCGGACGTGTCTTCAGAAACTAGGATGCCAGGAAGATTAGTACCCACAATCCCATTGAAACCGGAAATGGGACAGATCATACGGGACTTACCAAGTACGATCCCACCTTATCCTCCGCCACCGCGAATGCCGTTAGTGCAGTCGACCAAGTTCCTATTCACGACTCCCCGATACAACTACTCATCCGCAACGAATCCACGGTCTTCATCAGCATCGCAATCGTACGTACTCCCACAACGATCCTAACAACAATGTCTTGAATAGCGCATCGAAGTCGGTGGTTATTCAACGGTCGATAGAGTCCAAGCGAGAGTTCCTTTCGTATGCTAGAAGGGACTGCTGATGGTGCTACTGGTGGAAGGGATGATGGGAGGGAGGGGATGACAGTTGCAACAGCTGCCCATTGGGGTGTAGTGAAGCGTTCCGAGATTACGCGCGGTGGGATAACGACAGTGATGGTTCAGGAGGAAGGCAGAAAGAAGACTGGCAAACAAAGCCAGGGGCGCGCAGTGAAATGGGCAGGTTGGAAATGAATACGCCTCTAAATGCACCATCAAGTCGGTGTTAAAAAAAAGGAAGCTAGAGGCCTTATCGATTAGTCGTGGTGACGTCCGGGGTGCCAAGAAATCAGTGAAGGTTCAACCTTCATGTTCCTAAATGACATGATCCCGCGTAGCGTGCTCCAAGGAATTCAGGTTGTAAGCAGTACGGTGTGAGGTTGTCAGAGAAATGCCGAGTTCGCCGAGTCGAGGTCGACATCCGAGGGTTGGGTTGCCTGCCCATACCTTGACGTCACCACAACTCAATTGACATTACACAACCTCCGTCGAATCATCCCTCTTGTATTCGGATGGATCAAATCAAAGTTTGTTGTCCCTTACGTATTGGAGGTCGATATCCCCAAACGCAGTTCAAGTCCCCAACTTATCACTAGACTATGTCAACTAGTCGGCTTCGTCTTTTCATTGCACCAGCATTCGTCATCCATCCAAACCTCGGCGTCATCACCTATGATGATATGCAGAAAAATGGGCCAGTACTTTGGCGATGAGCAAGCAATGGCAGGCAAAATGGTTTAGCTGAACAAATGAACACCCGATATAAAAAATTGTAAGATACGACCCTGGTCTGTTATGAGTGTAACGGCTAGCAAACTCTGTGGAGGTATAGTCAACAGTTTCTAACAAAAAAACTGGGATAGAGTTGTCAGTGTTCTCGAGTTGAACGCCCCCTTTCGTGCATGCAGCATGAGCATTATGGTGTGGTTGGCCCATGCCGGGAAATGGAAATGATAAGCGGAATGGGGAAGACCAAAGAACCGAGGCCACTCAATCGCGGACCATTAGTGCATCGAAATGACGCCCGAGATTGGAGAGTGCAGTATGGAGATTGTTGAGCGAGTGAGCCAATCCTGGAGCATGTGCTCCTGGGTTAACAACAACTAGCTGGCGCCAGATTTGAACACATTCTGCAATGGATAGGAGTGCCTCCGAGTGCCGTCCGAGACTGGAAAGAGTTGCATATAGATTGTTGAGTGACGTGGCCAAACCTGGGGTGTATGATCCTGGGTGAACAGCAACTAGCTGGCGTCGGAGTTTGACACTTTCTTCAATGAATGGGAGCGCCTCTGAGTCCCGTCCCAGATTGGAAAGAGCATTGCATAGGTTGCTGAGTGACTTGGCCAAATCCGGGGTGTATGATCCTGGGTGAACAACAACCAGCTGGCGGTAAAGTTTGACGCTCTCTTCGATAAATGGGAGTGCCTCCGAGTGCCGTCCAAGACGGGAAAGAGCAATACGTAGATTATTGAGTGACGAAGCCAAATTCGGGGTGTATGATCCTGGATGAATGGCAACTAGTTGCCGGTAGAGTTTGACGCTTTCTTCAATGAATGGGAGTGCCTCCGAGTGCCGTCTGAGATTGGAAAGAGTGGAAGCTAGATTGCTGAGTGACGTGGCCAAACCTGGGATGTATGATCCTGGGTGGATGGCAACTAGCTGGCGTTGGAGTTTGACACTTTCTTCAATGAATGGGAGCGCCTCTGAATGCTGTCCCAGATCGGAAAGAGCATTGCATAGGCTGCCGAGTAACACGGCCAAATGCGGGGTGTACGATCCTGGATGAACGGCAACTAGTTGCCGGTAGAGTTTGACGCTTTCTTCAATGAATGGGAGTGCCTCCGAGTGCCGTCCAAGATTGGAAAGAGTGACATATAGATTGTTGAGTGACCCGGCCAAATCCGGGGTTGGGTGAACAGCAACTAGCTGGCGTCGGAGCTTGACGCTTTCTTCGATGAATGGGAGCGCCTCCGAGTGCCGTCCCAGATTGGAAAGAGCATTGCATAGGTTGTTGAGTGACCTGGCCAAATCTGGGGTATATAATCCTGGGTGAACAGTAACTAGCTGGCGGTAGAGTTTGGCGCTTTCTTCAATAAATGGGAGCGCCTCCGAGTGCCGTCCAAGATTCGAAAGAGTGCAATATAGATTGTTGAGTGACTCGGTCAAATCCGAGGTGTAGGTCCCTGGGTCCAGACAAACAAGGTCACGGCAGAACACAACGGAATCATTCGCTGCCTCATAAGCCTCATGGGATCTTGAAAAAAAAATCAAATTCCCCACAAGCTGGATAAGCTCATGGGCCAATGCACGAATAGCATCCTTGGACCGGTGCTCAACAGCTGACTAGAATATCATGAGGTAGTTTCATTAATACAATTGATAACACATGCCTTAGCCCACTTGGGTAGTGACGAGATACTAATGTAGCCCTCCATTCTCACACAGACTTCCACCCAGCGAGTTGCTTCTTGAGTGAGAAATACAGCAACTGACACAGCAAGCCCCTCCTCCGGTTCCTGGACTCCACTGAGGTGATGGACAATATGGCGACATGCATAATGAAAGTGCTCGGATAACTCCTCTCGAGGAATGCGCGGCATTTCGTCTTTTTTGGACAGATTTTCAATCAGTCCTAAGCCCTCTACAGAGGAAAGATCCTGGATGAGAATCTCGGTACATCGCAGGGCAACCTTGGCATTCTCTGTCTGCACACCTACTGGACCGCAGCTGGGGTTGATTGATCGGGGATCAATCCGATCGATGATGAAGACACGGAAGGATTGGTGTAAGATTCGAACTGGAACATGATGATCCCCAACCACTGAGAGGAGAGGTGCGAGTTCTGCCAACACATATTGAACAGAAGATTTGAGGAAAGGTGACAAAATGGCGTCCCAAGCTGCGACAGATAGAGGTTGCTGCGCAACGAAGATTGCTCCCATCACGATTGGGTAGTCATATGCAAACTCTTCATCCTCCCAATCGCACTTCTTCAGAATGCTTGTATACAAGCGATCCATCATTCCCTCAGCAGGGACCTTTGATCGTTTGGCACCAGTGTCGAGCAGGCCCTCTAACGTCTTCATAGGATTCTTGTTGGCCATCCTCATGTAGCGAAAGATGGTGCTGATCCAAACAAACAAACCATTTGCTTGTTCTGAGATCTCCTGTACTTTCTTATCCTCGTCCTGAAGATTATGGCGTACATCCGGATGTACTTTCTTCAGCACTTGCAGCTGGGAATGTATGTATGTAGTACAGTCCTTCAAATTTGCCCCATCCGAAAGATCAATAGTGAGACGATCGATTGGGCAATTAGGGGAGAGGTAGCGATTCACGAGATCAAACTGTCTCGATGTGATGAAGAATTTAATGGAAGATGGTAGCCTGGGCACCCCTTCCCTAAGAATTTCGGCAAGAGGCTCAAACGCTTCTTTATCGCATTCATCTAACGCATCAATGATGACCACCATAGGACGGTCGGGAGATGGAGGTTTATGTCGGAGAGGCGAAGCCACCAAATTCTCGAATTGCTTCGCGAGTAGGGCCGTTGAGAGGGCAGGGTCTTTTCGCAGAGCAGAGATAATGAAAGTGTGGTAAACCGGGTCATGGTCTGCTAAAGCCCGAGCTATGCCGCTGAATAGAGAATCGGGCCGTGACCGTTCGCCAGCTTTGAAGAAGAAGTGCAGTAACAGGGTAACGTCCTTTTCACTCGCACACCGTTCTGCTATCGTGAGCGTAATCGAAGTCTTGCCGGCACCGGCCACAGCTGTCAGTAGCATTAACCGGTTCTCACTCTCCCCAGTGTTGCGGCACCATGTCATAATATGCTCGGTGAGATCCACCCTAGTGCCTTCTAGGCATGCCTGAGTCGAATCATCGTGGGGATAGGAGGGAATCGGAGACTATCCAGAATTTTGTCGTCCTGTAGACGACGTTCTATCGCCGCTAATTTGGCACCGCCTATTAGGTTCGTCCTAAGCTGCATCGGCCGGAAATCAGAATAACAATAATTATGGGTCGGTACTGTGGGGAAACCTACCTGAAACGATGTCAATGCTTTGTCAAAATCTTTCTTTAGGTCATCGATCCTTCCTGGGTCTCTCAAGTAGGACAATGCATTCATGAAAGCCGGTCGTTTCTCCAATTTTTTCAGTCTTCGATCGATGTCGGACTTGATCTTCCGTAGCGCGCTAGGACTTGATGTAAGCAACGGTGTCGGGGACAACCAAAAAATAAATACAACTTACTCATCAAGCTTCGTGATACTCTCCACCCACGGCTTTGCCTCTTCCGCTGATGGATCGTAGGATTTTATGGCTAAAATCACCTCGGTCACATTGTCGACTACGTGTTGACCAAAATTAGCCCATTCCTTCTTGCTGTCCTTGAACTTCTAAGTACGTGGCGCAAACTAGTGTGAGCTTGCATTCAAGACCGGTCACAAACCATTGCTGACCTGAACCTCGTCGAGGATGGAGAGTGCACCGCCAGTCGCCATTTTTAGTGGGGGACACCAATCAGCCGTATTATTGACCACCCGGAGGATTGGGACCGCTATGGCACCACCCGCTACGAGGAGATCATCGATCTTTTGCCTGAGGACCTCAGCCTTTTGCTGCAATGACATGGTCGATAGCGGACAAGTGAACGGAGAGTGCGCAATACACGTGTGAGCCCCTGATACTCAAAGCCACGGGGCCTCCGCCTGATTATGGAAGGATATGATATATGCATTTACTTTAGTAGAGGCTGGATTCTGCCTAGCATTTAGTCTAATCCAATGTCAACGGCGAATTCTAGCATGCGCGTTGGCATGACCCAGACTGGTTATAGCGGCGAGAGAATTAGTATGACCCCTGCTTGTTGACTTATAGGACCTCATATGTAAGTCGTAATCAGGCACGAGTTGCAGCGATCGCTTCGTACCGAGGGCCCACGGTAAGCGCCCCACGACGTTTCACGACGGTCATCCCGTTCCTCAAGGGGAGCGATTAGCTTTTAATTAAGCTCTTAGGATGCAGGCAAGTGGGTGTCGGCTGTACGTCAAAGCTTGTCATTTTTCAGCTATCGTTTTCTGGAGGCGGTGAAGCTGTTTTCGTGGCGCTTGTGGAACCAATACCCGTTCTACTTGTTGTGCCGCGTCATATTCGATCATGCTCCGGTCGCCACTAGTCGGGGTGACTACCCGTCGGTGAATAAATTGGCCCCCATAAGTACTTCAACTACTTCCCAACACATTGATATAATAATAATATAGCGCCGCTGTGCCACGCGATTTCAGTGCAGGCTGGCATCCCTAGTGTCTCGTCATGGTCGTCCCATCCCTCATCGTAGAGGCACGATCGGCTTTTATTTGGGATGTGGGTATCAGCTGTGCGCCAAAGCTATTCAGACAGTATAAAAAGGCTTACATTCCTAGCTATCGTTGAAGTCGTTTTCCGCAACCCAATATATTTTCCTTTTGGTCTCTGGACAGCGCCTTGAAAGGCTCCACTGTACCTGCGCGCTGCAAGCATCCCACGAGGCCTCGACCCATTCGGTGGGGTTGTTCCAGTGCCGCTTGTGGGCCAACACTGTGCCACTTGGTTGTGGCCTTGATGCGTCACATTCGATCGTGCTCTGGTCACCGCTGGGTGTGCATGACCACCCATCGCTGAATAAGATTAGCCGCTACTTGTACACTACTTCCCAACGCATTGATAGAAGAATAAAATCTCAACATACTCCATACATTACAGCAAATATCAACGATGGTGAAGCCAAGCTCCCCTATACAGTACCACATACCCTACACCCTAGACGTGCCAGCCGCTTTGCCTCCGCTTCCCCCGCCATCCAATAGTGCGCTGCACCGACCAATAATAGTGCCAATATCGAGAAGTGAGTTTTAGGGACGTATGGCTTATTATCGTATCTACATATGACGGAATAAAATGCCACATTTCAAGTCCAGCAAAACAGAGCGGGATTCAGCCTCAAGCATAACCCAACTTTGAAACTGAGAAAAAGAACGAATTAACACTGGTATCGAGAATACCAGAAAGGGCAGACTGACAATAACCCGATGGGAATACTGCAGCGCGTTCAAGATCAGATCAATATTTTATCCGTGTGCTCGCCACAATAACAACAACGAGCGAGAAGCAGACAGAAGAACAAACACCCAATAATCAAAGCTTAAGTGCCTTAAGAAGTCTCGGCAAATCAGGCGTTCCAAATCCAGTTGCAGGGTCCCAACCTCTCGTCGCATTGAACCCTGTCGTTCCACAACCTGGGTTGCTACCCGTAGTGATGTCGTTCAGGATGCCCGGTTTGAGAGAGTAAATCCACGGGTTGCTGCCCGTGTTGAGCGTAGCGCTTCGGTGAGCGGGTGCCTGAGGAAGGGAGAAACAAACAAACGTACAGAAATCCGAGGGGTCTGCGACCTTTGGAGAGTAGAGCATCGTTTAAGAGCGCGATCTAAGACGCAAGTATACCTCGTTGCTTAGGCCTGCGAGGGAGAGAATGAAAAAGGAAATGGAACTCACTATCGCAGCAAAAGTAGGTGTCGAAGCGCTCGTACCCGAGACACGTATGACTTTCCCTTGATACACGATAAGATACCGATAGCCCCTGCACAGAGGATGAGTGAGAATCCATCAGATCAAGCAATCCCTCGAGGATGAAGGAAACCAGACGCAAAAAGAAACCCACTGAGCCGCAACATCAGGATAGGCTCTCCCATTCTTGTTGAACAATCCTTCATACGTGCTTCCGAGTGTTTTAAGGTATCTCGGTACTGCACGGTGTTGGTACCATGGGCGGGGGAAGTAATCACTAAACCCCCCTCCGGAGGAGCGAACTGTTGTTCCGGGAATTTGGTACGTCAGTCGTGACGCTTCAAGCAGCACGACTTAATGTTCAGCACAGATATATGGAAAATACATAGAAAACTCACTATGGGCACCCACCAGGGAAGATAGGCACGAACCTATTGGGGGTGAAACAAGCTCCTGTTTCCCCCACGCGGCCTACACCTCCATCGCCCGAGGCATGCAGAGCGCTAACACCCCGCGTCCCCAGTGCAGCGTAAAGCTTGCACACACGTCGGGCGTAGTTGATCGGAACTGTATCCTCATCCTCACCTTCATATAATTTCGAAAATTCCGCGGTCCCCACATGAGTGTTAGAGTGAAAATTTTGGGTTCAGGGAAAAATAGGATGCAGAGACTCACCATAACTGGTAGTCAACACTTGAGGAAGATCCTTTGTTTTCTCCCTAAGGAGGTAAGTGAGAAAAACGTCGTAGCTGTGGATTGTGATAATTTTAGTTGATTCATATGAATACGGGTTTGGCATCCGCTCACGGTTCATTGCCGTTATCCTCATAGCTGATGCTCCGGCTCGTATTTGGCCGCAACCATATGTACTGTAGAATACGAATTAAGAAGAAATGGTGTTACAATAGTTAAAATGGTACTGATTTAAGCTGCACGTACTTTGCTTGACAGGGTACTGCCATCAAAACAGATTTCAAGGGGTGATTGAGTAGCCCGGAATCCCCATTGCGCAGAGGTGAGGTAGCTCACCGAGATCCCTCCCGCGAATTGGACATCCAAATCCTGTGAACTTAAAAGGAACACCAAAAGACCAAGGGGTTAGTGTTCAAATTCTATACGTGAAAAGGAAGAGAAACAAGAAAAGCGGAGAAAGTGGGAATGGAAGAAGCGAGATTCAAAGGGACTTACAGCCTCGATGCCAGCCTCGGAAATGTTCTGAGAGTTGATTGCTCCTACGTAACAGCGACAACAAGAGAGAGAGGGAAAGTATCAATGTTTGCTTCGATGATAACGAAATGCCACAACGATGAACTTTACCGTTGATAAGCTCTACATGGAGAGTACTCTTCAGTGCTGGACGATAGAAAAACTGTTTAAGGTCAGCAAGGTTCGCATATTGCTCGAGGTACATAACATCATATTTTAGTTTATACAGTTTTCTAATGGGGATTCCGAGAGCGAGACAATTAAGATGTGATGATACCTACTCGGTGATACCGATTGAACTTCGCGTTCCTTTAGCCTTGTACGCATCGGTGCGATAGAGCGTTTTGAGCTCTGGGAGCGACATGTTTGGTTGTGGTACTGGGGCTGGGGCGGGACCGCTTTGCTGGTTGAAGGAGCCATCGTCAACTATCAAAGATGACAAGAGAGGTCGACCAGAAGGGAAGAAGTTCGTAGGCTGAACGACGTCGATATGGTCGTGAAGGTGAGCAGGAAAACTATATGATGTTGTGCGAATCGCAGTGGTTTGCATATATTGAATAGGTTGTGTCGAGAAGTTTCTCTGAAATTTCAATGGTGGTCTTGAGTGAGATCCAATCATTTGCGGGTGTTCGAGCGCGTCGCCTGTGATATCTATGCCGTGCGCGATAAGGAAAGATTCGAGGAGGATGATACTGTCTGAGTGAGGAGCGGAGAACTCTTCGACCTCTTCTTTGGTCAAGTGCTCAGTCCATCGGGGGCTGGATCGCTTATTTCAAGCAATGCGGATTCAACCTGGTGAAAGTAAGGTTGGGCGAGCCCAAAACGGAGAGTGATGGGAATGTGAGGCGAAAGAGTGCCATGGTGGGACCATCCCCGTGGCAGTCGGATCAAGCTCTTCTCGACAAAATGGTGTGCTGGAAGTGCGATGCACACTCGAATCAATAAGGGGAGGGCAGAAACGAACAACGCCAACGAGGGAACCATTCCGAGATATCTTCTGCTCAACTGCTCAAGGACTGAAAACGGGGGGGGGGGACACGGGCGCATTGCAGAGAGGCCAGATGCGATCCTTGAATCCACATTGTGGGCGGGGAAGAATAGCTGGATGGATGCCTTTGAGGAACATCTTTGAAGGGAAGCAAAGTGACTTCCCCGCAAGAGGGAGGTGCAACTCCTATACAGTTCGAACGCCACAAAGTGGATGAGGAATCAAGAGGGATCGCTGACGATGTGCCAATGCGGAGTGATCTAGATATAAAGCTAACGTAGACTGCATAATGTACGTATATAGCACACAATATGTGATACGCTTAATTCTTCTCTGCCATAGGCAACCAGTGACCAGCCTCTATGGTCTCCGTCATGCACGCGAGACTCAACCGATTCCAACAAGATCATATTGGACAGACGGTACGAGGGCGGGGCTGAGCTGAGACCAATGCATCACACGTTCGCCTCGACTCTCCAGCTCAAAAGCGAAGGACTCAGAGTGTCAGAAAAAGAGTGTTGGTATGGCGAGGTTGGGTGTTGGAATATTTGGAGGGACTGGTAGGTGGATTAGGTTTAGAACTTGAACCGCCCAGTCCTGAATTTGTTCCTTAGATATGTTTCGCCACTCGCCCAAGATTGAAGTGCGTCTCAAAAATTACGTAAATATCCTCTCCTTTTAACTTTCCTGCATGATGTCTGCGTGCTCGGGAAGCGTTCAATATACTCCAAGGAGCTTAGAGCATCTGGCGAGAAGAGGAAAAGCCAGGTTATGTGACACGAATTTATTTAATTTATTCCCACGGCCACAAGTCGTTCGACATCAGGCTGGTCAACCCTCTCTCGGAGACGTTAAGAGGTGGGGTATTTGGCTGAATAAAATAGGCCTAATGGGCCAAAACGAGGCTGTATATCCAAGGATATACAAATCCCAAAGTGCGGCGAACCGGGGAAAGTTGCGCGAACATTCATGTATATCCTTGTATATACATAGACATTCATGTATATCCACCATGTATATACCAGCCGGGTCAATATGTAGTGGTATATACAGGTGGCACCTGAATACATTTGCCGCGGCTGCCGATGTCATGTGGTCCGTTGCCACATGTTACTGCGGAGTTGTCCGAATTTATTGTTATATTGTTATATCAATCTCTCTCCTCTCGGTCGATGTTGGGTCCCCTGCTTTGCAGGTTGCTTAACGTGGCTTGGGCCACTGCGGGCTGAAGGTGAGACCCTCTCTTTTCATATTTCATACGTTCTTCCGTTCGACCGTCGCACCTCTTGCGTTTTTAATGTCCTTCACCTCTCCTTATCGCGAGGCGGAGGCGAGAGTATCGCCGTTGTTTGTCCTGACAAATACTGTATCCTGAGTATCATAGTGCTGCAAATTTGCTGCATTGCGCCCTTTCCTGTCGATGACGTGGACTTTATGCTTCTGACGCGCGAGCTCCTCTGTCTCCTTCAGTCATCCATATCATCCTGTCGCTTCCGCTTCCCGTCACGTCGCCATTCTATGCTTAGTGTGATCTTCAAGTCTATATGGCTGGGATACCGGCAGTCCGTCCCCCTGGAATGTCTCAAACACGCCCTCCACGACACCTGTCTCTCCTGGGCCGCATCCCCTCAATGTTAAGTACTCTCCCGCATTTAGGTTAAGTCCGGTGGCCAACCAATTTCTCGATATCATGAAGGATTTCAAAGTCGATCCTCACGCTTGGCTGTACACTATTGAATTCCATGACCAACGCTCTCATCGTAACAGGATGCCACTTCTGCAAAGCAACCCGTCAAACTTGCTGGTGTCATTAAAGTTTTGGGTTGAACTGGCTCTCGCGGAGGTGTGACCCAGGTCTGCAGATTTCTGCAGCTCATCCGCAGGGCCTAACGTCACCCACAGGTTCGTATTGAGTTGATGGACGAGATGCAACGCTCTATCATTCGAAACGTCAAGGTACCAGTTCGTGAGTCGGATGTCCTTGCCCTCTTGGAGTCTGAGCGTGAATTCAGCTCAGTGTGTCCAGTGACTTGCTAGACAGTAACAATATCCGCTGATGATAATTTTCGGCGTTGATTTTCTTTTTCAACCCTGTGCATCTATTGAGATTTGCATATTGAAGAGTTTGACCTATGTTCCGCTATCAATTCCACATGGGAATGAAGCACCTTCAGGTTGATTCCACGCTTGTCGTTGTGTATTGAAGCCGAAGGTAAGCGGGAAAAGTACCATTTGCAGACATACTGTTACTCTGCACACAGAGTCACTAACCACTCCCGATATTACGCAATTGGCGACGCTGAAAATTTGTCATCATCTTCCCTTTCAGGTTGCTTACATGCTTTCTTTTACGTCATCTCGCCTGTCCCTTCTCTCTTTTATTTTCCGCTCCCCATTTGTCCTCCTGTTCCAGAACTTCACTTCGACTTTAAACCCAACTATGCGAAATACACAGTCCGATGGAAACAGTCTCCACTGAAGTTGGCTTACTCCACAATGTTCAACAATTGCCAAGGACTCACTCTTGATCAAGTAGTGATTGATTGTAGAGAGGATGTCTTCTCACATGGGCAGCTGTACACTGCGCTAAGCTGTGTGCGACATAGGTCTCATGCGATGCTGTTCTTGCCCGAGTCAAAGCTGGATGATGCGAATGTAGTATACAGAAGACTTTTGGGTTAACGTTAACCTGGCTTGCTATGTTACTTGAATGAATGGACGGCAATTGTTGTATGTACTTTGTTTCAATGAATGTAAACTTCTGTACAGGTTAGCCCAAGACAAATGTAGCGGGGCTTTGCTGCCAGTCATTGGCAGCAGTCCTCTCATGCCGAGAGGTTTCTGATGGTCTATCTGACCATCTATCTATAATTTTATTGGCTCCTTAGCCCAAGGAGCCGCTGCTGTTTCTGGAAGCACCCTGCGCTTCCTTCCTTCTTTCCTTTTCCCTATGGAAAGCCAATCTGCTTTCCTCTCAGTCCGCGAGGCTGGAGATGGTCTAGGTGACCATCTCTCCACCGGTTTTGCACCGGTATTATAACTCTTTGAGCTCAGCTGAGAGCTGAGCTCAGGAAGCGCCCTGCACTTTGTCGCATCCAGGGTTTTTTCAGATTTCAAGCCCTTACTCTTTTTTCCACTCATTCTGAGAGGTTTCAGATGGTCTGTGTGACCATCTCTCCACTGGTTTTACGCCGGTATTAAGACTCTTTGAGCTCAGCTGAGAGCTGAGCTCTGGAAGCGCCTGCGCTTTGCCATATTCTGGGTACATCGAGGATATGGCCCTTACTTCTTTCCCTTTCATTCCAGAAGGCTAGATACGGTCCCAGTGACTGTATTCCTTTCTTAGCTTATGCTGAGAGCTGACTCTCAGAAGTGCCCTGCGCTTCCTCCTGTTTATGGGCCTCTTGACTCTGAGGCTCAACCGGTTCCTCTTATTCTGTGAGGTTATAGGTGGTCTATGTGGTCACATCTTTACCAAGTTTATTATGGCTCAGCTTTCCACGGTATCGTTTCAGTTTAATCAGTACCATCGTATCTGAAGGCTGCCATGTATGGCCTTCACTCGCTGCCGTGGCATCCGTTTTTTTTTTAGATTTTCTTGAATGTCTTTCCCTGTATCGTGTTGTTGCAAGAAAGATGATCAAATTCCATTGATGAGAACGGAATAAGTGGGCAGTGCAGAGTCCTGCAAAGCGCGAAGCGCAAGCACTCTAGTGATTTAGAGTGTGCACATCATTGTATAAACCTATTGTAAAGAAGCTTCTCAAGTCATCAGGTGCATAGCAGCAACCCACTAGGATGTCGCACACGCCTGAAACACAACATAGTTACATCTTTTTTTAAGCTTTGCAACCGCCACAATCCCCTCTGTAACAGGAGGGATGCTACACACGCATGTCCCCTCCTATACATATAACCCTCCCCGTTATCATCCGAGTCATCAAACAACCTCTTTATTCCATTGTATTTTCCATCTTTCCCTTGTTAACATGCATGCAAGAACTCACCGGGGGGTTGCGGGAAGGGGTTGACTGTCTATTCATACAGCGAACAGAAAACGAAATGATGAATTAAAAAAAAAAGGGTAGAAAGAAACAGAAAGAAACAGAAAAAGGGAAAAGAGACAAGGAGGAACCCGAGTTGGGCCCATGCTTAAGTATAACCATCCCCAGGTCTGTGTGCAAGAACTGATGTGGGAAGTTGCCAATACTTACGGGGAGATCTGAAGGCATAGTTGGACTATATATATATATATGCGGAGTTGTCCAAAATATATTGTTATATTGAATGCCAAGCCCCAGATGTATATATAAAACATTCTAATCTAGAGATGCACCACCTGCCTCAGCTGCCTCTATTAACCGTGCAAGCATTTCATCTTCTTCCTCTGAACCATTCAATTCAAACATATCACTCTCGTTGCTGTCGGACCTGACAGAACCATCATCAGGCACCCTGTGGACTGGGGGTGAATGGTTTGGGTTATGATGTTTAGCAAGAGCCTGAACTTTGGGCAGACTATGGAACGCGTGAAGAGAGGGTGGAGGGTCATTGGGAGCCCAATCTTTTGTACCAGCGGAGATCTCGAAAGTTTTGGTACTTCCTTCCCAGCAATTTTGTAGCTTATGAAGCCTGTGAATCCGCATGAGGGAAAAAAAGGCAACATCAACATCACTTCCAAGGGCAGCAAAGTATAGGTGAACGGCTCGGTAACTCTCCTCCCATATCCATTGACGGAGATTGGCATGTTCAGCCTCGCATCTGGCAATCTCAGATTGGCAGCTGACAACCATCTGTGCCAAAGGGATACCTTCCTTTACACATGGATCAGTGAGCCATGTCGGTAGCTCTTCAAACTGTGAAGGATCACAATCTTGCCATATATCTTGATCTACATCCAACTTATAGAGACCCTCCTTTCTGAGCGGTGAGGGAAGCCATGCATCTTCGGCAACCCCATTTCTCCCTCTCATCTCAGCCAATTGTAAGATCTTATCGTTATACTTCTTCAGAGTGGCATCAACTCCAGCCGAACAACGAGAGACTGCTTTGTCCACATGATCTTGTAAACTCTGGTCAGCAACTCGTCCTCCATGAGATTGATCAAGTCGTTGCAGCTCCTGTTTTCTTGCATGTAATTTGCGGAGTAACTGATCACGCAGCACATGAAGGTTCAAAAAGCCATTTGCCCATACATCCTTCTCTGCCTTCTTGAGTTCCTCATGTGTATCATCCTTAGCCTGCAACTCCTTTGTGGCCTTCTCTACAGAACTCCTCAGCCTCGCGATGCTGCTGTCAAGGACATCAACGCGTTCCTGCCAATCTGCTGGGGGGGGTTCCGCCACTGAATCAGAGCCGGTAGGCATATTGCACCTCAAGTCTTCTAGAAGTGACCTAGAACTCTCAATGGTTGCCTTCCAGCCCATGATGGCCTCAATCTTGGTGCGGACGGGAGTCTTAGTTTGCCGAGCTTGAGGCTTCGAGTGATACTGACGCTGTGCCTTGAAATGTTCCAGCATGTCATCCACATTCTGCTCCTTGAGGGCCTGTTGAGCCGACTCAAGACGTTTCTTGGCATTTGTGATGTGATGGTGCAACCAATTCCCCAAATCCAGGCACTTCGTATCAGTGATATGGCTCATCTGCATGTCAAGCACAAAGAGACAACGGTGGTACCCCGCAACCTGAAGACTTGGTATGAGCTGTCGCAGTTCACTCCAAAAACGCTCACACACTTCACCATCCGAAAGACCCCAGACACGATCCTTCCGAGGGTGATACCATAGCTGACAAGCCCATTGATGTCCATAGGTGTGAAAGATAGAGATGCCCCACACCAGACGTGACCGCCACTCAGGTGCAATGTTCCACTTGTGAAGCACACGATCAGTCTGGCAACCAATGTCATACAGGCACCCGATGGTCCACGATGAAGGGAGATGCTCTATAAGCTTCCCGAGTAATGAAAGTATGTAGAACTGTTGTTCCCCTGGAGTCCAAATGCTGACGTAGAATAACGGTATGCCGTGACGATGTCAGGGCACACCCGCCTGACCCGGGTCCACCTGGACCCACCCAGCCACACCACACCCGCTCCCCACTGTCTATCCCCCTCCCCCCTCCTTCCTCCCTCTCCTCCCCCTTCTTTTCCCTCTTCCTTCCCCTTTCTTTATTTCATTCTTCTCATCTTCCTCTTCCTGTTTATTTCTTTCTATCTACACGGACCACCTTCCTTTGTATCGATGTACTATTGACCCATCTGGCCCACACACCCTGGACGGCTTCCCGCTGTGCCCAGCACGCGCGCATGCAGCGGACACTCTCGGGATCCCCCACGGGGACACCCGGATGCCTGCAGCTGCCTCCGAGGATGACGTGGCACTCGTCATGTGACTCAAGCCGCATGTACATAAATGTACCTGAAGTGGGAACTGAAGAAGTAACCTTCTTCTCACATTCTCCACTTCAGTCTGAGTGGCCAGGGACCACTGTCCCGGATCGGGCCTGCCAGTACGCACGCCTGCCCCACACCCCACGACGGTGTCATATCCATGCATACCCGACCCCGACCCGACTTCCGGACCTCCACCCTCTTCACCTCCGGAGTCATAACCTACCGTTGCCGTTCCGATACTCACCTTCGGTCCTGGCAAACACACCTCCACCCTCCCACCACCCTCCTACGCTTCCCCCGTCCGCTCCGATACTCACCTTCGGACCTGACTACTCTCCTTTCCGCCACTCCTTCTCCCCTTACCTGTCCCCTCTCTCCTCCCTCCGTTACTCCTCCGCCACCCTTCCGCCAAGTTACGACCTTCCACCGCTGTCCCGTACTTTGCACTCGGACACCGCTCGTACCTTACTCCGAGCCTCCGTCATAGTCCCCACCTCGGACTTTGACTCCACCTCGGCCTTAGTCCATTGCATTGGTGACCTCATACTACGTAAACACCATTGCCAATATTCCTCGGACTTCCAACCCCGCCTCCGTAACCTCCGTAAGCTCCGCAACCCCCAAGCTTCGCGGACCGCCTTCGGCACTCTTGCCGCCTGTAATGTATTTCTCGCATTTTCCCTTCATCCCTATTTGGACTACTGCTTCTTTCTATTCTAGCCAGTTAGTCATCATCCCCACTTCCCCTCATCCTCCTGCCCCTCTGGGCCTCGCCCTCTCTACCTCCTTCGGACGTATCACAGGTCTTGCCCTATGACCTTCGGTACCGCTCTGCCCCCTCTACCCTTTGTTCCCGTTCGGACGTCTTCGTTCCGATTCGGTCACCCTTTGTTCTCTTTGTGCTTTTGCCCCTTCCATTATATATATCGGCGCTTGTACATACTCGTTTTGGTTTTAGTCCAAAATCGACCTGAAATGCCCCCAAGAGACTTCCTGCTCACCTACTGTGAAATTAAGGACCAAATGGACAAACAGCAATGGCACAGCGCTCCGCTTGAGTCGCTGAGGCCAAGGTCCCTCCACGCTAAGTCTCCGATTCCACTCCGGAGTCGTCCGTTTCCGCCTCGTTCTAACAGACGGCCTCAGTGCTGGGCATTACCCCCGGGCCCTCTCGACCCCGGACGCATCCCTGACAGCAGAAGAAGGTTTTAACCTTATCTCCCCTGCCTCCCCCATCTCCCCAGCCATGGTGTCAGAAGAACAGTATGACGACCTGCTGGCCCGCTTCCAGGAGCTCCAAGCCATTGTGGAGAGCCAAACCCGCAACCACCCCCCACCCGCACCTGCACCTGCACCTGCCCCTGCACCCGCGCCTGTACCCACACTCGCACCTAGACCCAAACCACCGAAGGTCGCTGCCCCCACTCCCTTCTCGGGAGCCAGTGAAGACCTCGATCGTTTCAAAGCCGAGTGTGGGATCTACTTCCATGTCCGTGCAGCTGAGTTCCCTACCGAACTATCCCAGATCCTCTTCGTCCTCTCCTACATGAAGGGAGGACCTGCAGGGGTGTGGGCGACACAACGGATGATCACCCTGTTGACAGCCAGCTCCCTCACCATAACCATGGACAAGTTCAACATGGAACTCGATGCCATGTTTCAAGACCCGAACCGGGAGGCCACAGCTCGGCAGAAGTTGGCAGTCATCCGCCAAGGGACTGACTCCGTGGATAAGGTCATCCAGGAGTTCGAGATATTGGGACCCACCTCGAGGCTAGGCGATGTCAGGCTGGTCGACCGGTTTGAGCAAGCGATTAACTCCCGGCTCAGGGAGAGTATATACCGCCTCCGCCCCATGCCCACCACTTGGACTGAGTGGAAGCGCGAAGCCACGCTTCTGGACAACCAGTGGCAACGTTTCCAAGCCACCCAACCATGCGCACCCCCACCTAGACCCCCATTTCCGCCAGCTCGACCTCCGCTGACCGCGACCCCATCCCAGGCCCGACCTGCACAGACCCCCCCACGACCTGCTCCTGCACCTCCACCCCCCACCCCAGCAGCCCGTCCTACACCAGGGACGGGCCCCCAGCCGATGGATCTCGACAGGTCGAGGACTGACCAGAGGCGGTGCTACAATTGTAACACCCCGGGTCATCTCGCGCGAGAATGCCCACACCCCAGGGTCAGCCGAGTACGACGTCTCCACCTGGAAGACCTGAGAACACTGATGGAAGGGCTGAAGAGACAGTTAACCGAAGGGACAGAGACGGTGGAGGGGGAACCAGAGGAAGAACCTCAGAGGGATTTTGTCAGGGCACACCCGCCTGACCCGGCTCCACCCGGCCCAACCTGACCCGGTACCCCGCCGATCCACCCTTCCTTACCTCCTCCCCCTTTCCCTTCTTCCCCCTCATCCTCCCCTCCTCAGTTTCTCCTTATCTTACTTCTCCTTTATTCTCTCTTTATTCTACATGGACGACTTTCTCTGTATCAATGTACAACTGACCCATCTGCAGCGCGCCCACCATGTACCCGGCCCGGGCACCTCGGGTGACTTCCCGCTGTGCCCAGCACGCGCGCCTGCACCGGATACCCTCGGGATCTCCCACGGAGACACCCGGGTGGTTACGGCTGTGTGCGAGGGTGACGTGGCATCCGTCATGTGATCCAAGCCGCATGTATATAAACGAACCTGAAGTGGGAACCGAAGAAGTAGCCTTCTTCTCAACTTTCCACTTCAGGTAAGCAGTACAATATTTCTCCTTTAATAATAATAACAACTTTCCACTTCAGTCTAAGTGGCCAGGGACCACTGTCCCACATCGGGCCTGTCAGTACGCACGCCCGATCCGCCCCCCACCAGGCTCTCGGTCCCAGATGCTATACCCGGACCCCCTCGACCCCGGACGAGTCCCTGACAGCAGAAGAAGGCTTCAACTTCATCTCCCCCACCTCCCCTGCCTCTCCTGCCATGGTGATGGAAGAACAGTACGATGACCTCCTAGCCCGGTTCCAGGAACTGCAGGCTATTGTGGAAAACCAAGTCCTTAACCATCCCCCACCTGCTCCTGCACCTGCACCCGTGCCTATCCCCGCACCCGCTCCCACACCCGCCCCCAGACCCAAGCCACCTAAGGTCGCCCCCCCCACGCCCTTCTCGGGAGCCAGTGAGGACCTGGACCGTTTCAAAGCCGAATGTGGAATCTACTTCCACGTCCGCGCGTCCGAGTTCCCCACTGCCCTCTCCCAGATTCTCTTCGTGTTGTCCTACATGAAGGGAGGGCCGGCAGGAGCATGGGCAACGCAACGCACGATCTCACTGTTGACAGCAGGGTCCCCGGCACTCACCATGGACGAGTTCAACACGGAACTTGACGACATGTTCCAGGACCCAAATCGGGAAGCCACCGCCTGGCAGAAGCTGGCAGCCATCCGACAGGGGAGCGACTCCGTGGACAAGGTCATCCAGGAGTTCGAGATATTAGGGCCTGCCTCAAGACTGGGTGACGTAGGGCTGGTCGACCGCTTCGAGCAAGCGATCAACGCCCGGCTCCGCGAGAGCATTTACCGTCTCCACCCTATGCCCACCACCTGGGCTGAATGGAAACGTGAGGCCACCCTCCTCGACAACCAGTGGCGACATTTCCAGGCCACCCAGCCACGAGCACCCCCACCTAGACCCCCACTCCCACCAACCAGACCCCCTCTAGCCACCACCCCCCCCTACATGCGGCCCACACCCACCACCTCGCGACCTACGCCCGCACCCGCACCCCCAACCCCCGCAACCCGCCCCACGCCAGGAACAGGTCCACAGCCAATGGACCTCGACCGATCGAGGACTGACCAAAGACGGAAGGGGTTGTGCTACAATTGCAATGCCCCAGGCCATGTCGCACGAGAGTGCCCGCACCCTAAGGTCCACCGAGTCCGACGCCTGCATCCGGAGGACCTACGAGCGTTGATGGAAGGGCTGAAGAGGCAATTGGGTGAGGGACCAGAGGCAGAAGAGGGAGAGACGGGGCCAGACCCCCAGGAAGAGGATTTTCAGGAAGGCGACTGACCGGTGAGGGATGCGCCCCGGCTGCCTGTAGAAGATAACCCGTGTAAATACCGCAACGTGCGCGAGTCAACGCCACTGCAGAAATTCCATCGAGTTATCGCAAAGAAAAAGAGGAAAAGCGCATCCTCTACCCACAGAAGTGAGAGACACCCAGAGCTAACACCCGAAGTAGCGGTGTCTCCACCCGCCATTTACGTCCTTTCCAAACAATCCCCCAGGTCACTCAACCTCACAGTGACGTTGACCGCCCTGACCTCTCTCGCCCCCGTATCAGTGTCAGCCCTCCTGGATTCAGGGGCCACCGGGAACTTCGTGAGCCCTGAGTTCGTCCGGAAGCACAGGCTCGAGACCACCCCGCTCCCACAGCCCATACCCGTCCGCAATGTCGATGGCACCCCGAACGAGAATGGGGCCATAACGGAAGAACTGGAAGCCCTCCTGACGTTCGGACGACATACAGAACGGGCCTGCTTTGCAGTTGCAAACCTGGGACGCCAATCCCTCATCATAGGGCACTCGTGGTTGCTGCATCACAA